CTTGTAAAATTCAGCTACAGCAATTTCTTCAGAAATGCCTTGAGTAGTGTTCCTAAACTGCTGCTTTGCCAGTGACCGTAACATAAAAAGCCAAGGAAAGACACACAAGTCTCTTCTGGAAACACTACGAACAGCTTCTGTTTGAGGGATGGCACACTGAGACGTTTTGGGTCAGTCATGTTGTACAGAAAAAGAAAGGCAAAACTCCACGTTTTCAGGCAGTGAACTCTTTTATACCTGTAAATGTTTGCGCACGTGCTATCTCTAATTGCCGGCAGCTCCAATCAGGGCTGGCAAACACCAGTCCTCGCCTAGTTAGGATGAATTAAACCGAAAGCGAGACTGCTAGGTGTGTCAGGGCCCTCTTCCAAGCAAAGGCAGAGCCACGCTCCCACCGCTGCTGTCACCCCAAAAGCTCTGTCTGCCTGTCACCAGCTGCCTCAGGCTCAGCACAAGGCAGCACTCGGGCACCACCTGCACTCAGCCGAAGGCTAAACCTGCTGCGGGGAGAGGAGAAGCGAGAGCGTGCACCCGGAATTAGAGACGCGGTGATTTTACTTTGCTTTCCTTTCGTGGCACTCAGCTCAAGGAAATCCCTCAGCACAAATACACTCCCATTGCTGATGGTGAAGTTTATTTCTTGTGTGACCTGAACAACACAGGAGGTCAGATTCGGTAGTCGTAATGGTCGATCATGCCCCAGAAACCCAGGAAGCCAGGCATTTAACATGTCAAGACCTATTACAGCCCCGTGCAGCTGAGAAAGAAATGGGAGTGCCATTAACTCTGATGTGAGAAGGATTTCATCTGCACACAGCTAAGCCAAGGACCCAGGAGGTTTTTGGGATGATCGGCTCCAGGTGAGACCTCAACCTAACACCTGCACTCATAGCCAGGGGCTTTCCTTTCACCCAGTCACTGCCCTGAAACACAAACATCTCACACTGGCAACTGTGAATACAAGCACTGCAAGGCTCAGCAATGAAAAAAACACCCTGGAATACCCGTGCTTGCAAATAAAATAAAGGCAGCAGTAGCATTTAAATCCTCCCACAGAAAAACGTCACCTTGACTTTGAAGGCAGAGGGTCTGTTCTCACACTGCCTTCACTCCACAGCTGTAGAGGAATGGGTATTTAAGCTGTTCCTTTAAACACCCAGTGCAATCAGCTGACAAACAGGATGTGAAGGGAAAAGGCTGAACAAAGTAAAGCATCAATGAGAGACTAAGCAGGAATGAGAGAGTATACTCTGCCTCTTAGGCAGTGCCAGAGAAAGAATTAGTTTGAACTCAACCCAGCAATGCAAGCGCCAAATAATAGAAAACTTACATGACCTCGCTGTCTTTTGGTAGCTGCCACCTCCCTTTCCAAACGCTTTTGGGTCCATCAGGAAATTTTACCCAGCTATGAGAGGGCAACGGGGCCTCGATGATACTATTTTCTTACTATTTCCATGAAAACAGGCAAAAGGGCTAGCAGAGAAAAATGATCTCTCAACCCTGCACAAACACAAGGCTGCAGTACTTACTGGAAGGGGAAATCAACGTGAGATACCAACCTCAGCGCTCAATGCCGTAGGAAACCAGGCTTTGCTACTTCAGCTGTTCAGGCAACCATTTGTTTTAAAACAAGAACTCACGTTTCTGCAAATGGGGAAAAAAGCCTTTTCCCACCCCGGTTTTCATAGATGTGTTTAAATGGAGTACACTACAGTGCTCCAAGCCAGACCTTGGACAGCTAGCTTGCTCCTCAGCCACCAGTGGCAGTGGGGACAAACAGAGGGGTGTGGAAAGGCAGCTGGGAGAGGGGAATAGGGTGCACAGGTGGGAAAAAAAAAAAAAAAAAAAGGGAAAAAAAAGAAAATTGGTTAAGTTTGTGGTTTGGGTTTAGCATAATCAGCCTCACCCAGTGAGACCATTTCCAGCAGGCAAGGCATCACCTGGGGAGCTCCAAGAGGAGCAGAGCCAGCAGCAAGCCCACAGCAACCTTGGCGCCCAGGTTGGGGTCAAGGCAGGCTGAGGTGACAGAGCTGTCCCTCACAGCCTCCCCTGTGAAGGGATGAAGGGGATGGGGCTGCCAAACCCCTCCTGGGCCTGCAGATGCAACCAGGCAGCACTGCACAGCCTGGTGGCCCCAGCACACTTCCTTCCCCTGCCACACAGACCACCAACCCCATCAGTCTGATGCTGACCTAAGCCATGACTTTAAATAGGGCTTTTTTCATATTTTTGTTTTTTAAACCCTCAGCATTAGAGGTCTGGGTATAAAATAAAAATCTGATATTCTACTCGTGGCACATCTTACTTCATTTACTACATTATAGGACTTCTAAGTGCTGAACAGCACTAAAGAAAGCACTTGAGATTTAACAGACCTACAAAAATAGCTTTGAATGCTTTATAAGCTTTAATAACTACCAGTTCTAATTGAAAAATCCATCTTCTTGAACAAGCCAATTGGAGCATACTGCCCCCTAAAAACTAAATGCTAACTATTTAAATTACATTTATTTAACTCTGGAAAAAAAACATATTCATTGTAATAAAGATTTTCCGCAACAGCTGCTTTTCTTAACCATGATCTCAACTTTATTCTCTTGAGAATAACTACTGAAGAAAAGCCAAATGTAAAATCCTGTTTCCTGTCAATTTAAGCAGATGTTTTTATGTAATCAAAAGCATTGTGGAGGCCCAAGCTAGACTGTATTCACTCTGCATTCTGAAAATAGGTCCACCAAAGAAATGCTAGCAAAAGAAACATTAGTAAGCCTATTACAGCACAAACACCTAAAAATGACAATTTTCTGCCAAATAGGTTTGCATGCTGCACAATAAAAAACAGTGGCAAAAATTAGAGCTTATAAATGACCAAGACAGAGGCTTGCTTCCTTCAGAGTAAGTTCCCATGGTCTACTTGGCAAGGATGCAAGTCGCACAGTAACGTTAATTGAGATTATTTCAAATAACTTCTGTTAGTGCAAAATCAGCATAACCAAAGGACATTGAATTTTGGCAGCCACCACTTTAACAACAGGAATCTGGGCCGAGGAACCTGAAAGCATTTATTCAGACAGGCATCATCGGCTAGATGTTCAGCACAGCTTGGTCCAAGCCCAAAAGAACTGATAACTCCTTGTCTGCTTCACATCAGAAAAACTTGCTGGCATTACGAATGGAGAAAATTGATAGTCAAGGGATGTTAACCCACAAGAAAACTTTGATATCAGCACTTTCACAGCTCACGAGGAGGATGCTGAAGTTCCCAGTCAGTTCTAGGAGAGCAGACCCAGAGAAACACAGCAAGGCAGAGACACGCAGGCCAAAAACACTTTTTTTTTTTTTCTGTTGTTGTTACAACACAACACTCCAACAAAACAAACGCCATGGGATATCACGCACATTAAACCAGCATTTCTTAGGCCAAAAGGAGAGACCAGCATAAGGGCTGTTTTTCAGGACTCACTGTGTAAGGTCCCATCTCTCCTCAAGCATATCATTGCTGTTTCTGTAGGGACGGTCACATCCTGCAGAATGCTTAAAGAGAGGCCAAATTCCTCCTCAGTTTTTCAGCTTGATTAACAGTACTTGTAAAATGCCTGAAGAAGTTCAGCTGAGAGAGAAAGAACTTCTACCCCTTCTTGTTTACTATAATGAACACGCGGGAATAACAGCCTCACCTCCATCAAGGTTGGAACTTATCTAGCTGTGAACTCAAAGACCATTTTTCCTTTTCAAAAAGTTACACTGTACACTATTGAAGCACGATTTATGTCATTTATTATCTTAATCTGTATATAAAAAGGTTAGCCACGCTAAGTGTGCTGGTACAAGCCCAGCAATATGCCGTATTTAGTGCAGATAAGTCTTACATCAAAAATAATGTTTGAGCCAGCAGAATACATCTCCCCAGGGTATTGCATAATTCTGGCACCATGACTGCATGGTTAGGGCTTTTGCTTAGGCTCCAACATCACGAAGGAGTTCAGCTTCTTTCCAGACTCCAAAGTGACGCATCAGTGTCAATAAAACACATTACTACTAGATATTACTACACTGAGAGTGGCTCTAAGAAACCTTCACAGTTCAGTCGTGCTGAATCCATGCCATTCAGCACATGGCCCTCATGACAGCTTTGTCCTCCTGGTTTTAAGATGCTTCTCCAGGAGGTACACCAAAAAAGCAACGAGATGTGAACAGCCACGAACCACCCCCGTAGTTGTGCCTACTGCCAGCACTTTGTTCTTTCCACACTGTGGAAAAGACTGAGGAGGGCTAAACCTTGCTTCAAGCGCTGCCAGAATGCGTGTGAAACAGCAGCCAAGGAATCACAGGATCTTTAGGGTTGGAAGAGACCTCCACGATCATCTGGTCCAAACATCTCCCTACCACCAATGTCAGCACTGAACCATGTCCCTAAGCACCACGTCCAACCTTCTCCTGAGCACCCCCAGGGACGGTGACTCCACCACCTCCCTGTGCAACCCGTCCCAGTGCCTGACTGCTCCTTCTGAGCAGAAATGTCTCCTCATTTCCACCCTGAACCTCTTCTGGTGCAAATTGAGGCCATTCCCTCTGCTCCTATCACTGGTTACCTGCGAGAAGAGGCTGACCCCCAGCTCCCCACACCTTCCTCTCAGGTAGCTGCAGAGAGCACTGAGGTCTCCCCTGAGCCTCCTCTTCCCCAGGCTGCACACCCCCAGCTCCCTGCACACCCCCAGCTCCCTCAGCCGCTCCCGCAGGACCCGAGACCCACCGGAGCAGCAGCGCTGCCCCACGCAGGCTCTGCCCCCTTCCGTGCTCCCTGGCGAGCTGCAGGGAGCCCGGGGGACGGGCAGGCTGAGCCGCCCTTCACCCCCTGCACCTCCACAGAGCCGCAGCCGCGGGGACGAGCCCACAGCGACCGCTCCAGCTCGAGGCAGCGCCAGCGGCTGCCGAGACCCGCGAGCACAACGGAGAGCTCCGAGCCCCCCGGGGGCTGCCCCCAAGCCCCCCGCCCCTACCTGGCCGGCGCAGCAGGGCGCGGACATCCCGGCTCCGGCTCCGGCTCCGTCCCCGTCCCCCCGGCCCCTCGCCGCCTCCCTCAGCCCATGCGGGTGCGGGTTTGGGCTGGGCTGGGCTGGGCCGGGCCGCGCAGGGCACCGCGGCGGCGGCGGGCGGGGCCGCACCGCCTCTGCCCGCCGCCCTCGGCCCGGCCCCGCCGCCCGCCTTCCGCTGTCGTCAGGGAGCGGCGGCCCCCGAGGCCCGGGGAGCCCGCTCAGGGCGCCCCGCGGCGGGGAGACCCGCGGCAGGTGCGGGCCCGCAGCCCCCAGCCCCCAGCCCCCGGCCCGCTGCGTGCACCTGCGGGGCGGCCCCAGGGCGCAGAGGCGTCGGGCGGGTGGCACGGCCAGGGGCGGGTTGGGGGGGGAGGAAGGGCGGTGGGGAGAGGGTTGGCAGCTCCGCCTGGCAGGTTCCTCAGGACATTGGGGTGCACGGCCCCTGCAGCGCTGCAGGGCTGCGGCAGGGTGGCTGGGAACTGTGCAGGGGAAAGGACCTGGGGGTGCTGCTCGATGCTCACCTGAACATGAGCCGGCAGTGTGCCCAGGTGTGTCAGGAATGGTGCAGCCAGCAGGAGCAGGGAGGTGATCGTCCCCCTGTACTCTGCTCTGGTGAGGCCGCACCTCGAGTGCTGTGTTCAGCTTTGGGCCGCTCACTACCAGAAGGACATCGAGGCCCTGGAGCGTGTCCAGAGCAGGGCTATGAAGCTGGTGAAGGGCCTGGAACACAAGTCCTATGGGGAGCGACTGAGGGCACTGGGGTTGCTCAGTTTGGAGACAAGGAGGCTCAGGGGAGACCTCATTGCTCTCTGCAGCTACCTGAAAGGAAGGTGTGGGGAGCTGGGGTTTGGCCTCTTCTCACAGATAACCAGTGATAGGACCAGAGGGAATGGCCTCAAGTTGTGCCAGGGGAGGTTCAGGGTGGAAATGAAGAGACATTTCTCCTCAGAAAGAGCAGTCAGGCACTGGGACGGGTTGCCTAGGGAGGTGGTGGAGTCACTGTCCCTGGGGGTGTTCAGGAGAAGGTTGGACGTGGTGCATGGGGACATGGTTTAGTGGGTGACACTTGTGTTAGGGAGATGTTTGGACCAGATGATCTTGGAGGGCTTTTCCAACCTTAATGATTCTGTGATCCTATGACCTCACAGGGCTCTGTAGACTTGTACCTGTTCGGTTTCATTGGGTCATCCCAAACCCAATCTTCACTCACAGCAGGAAGGATTTTGTTCCCCCAGTCCCTGCCTTGAGGCTCAAGGGCTTGAGAGACTGCAAAGTTGTGGGAAAAGTGAAGACTGAGGCAAAAAAAGTTGCAGAGTACCTCATCCTTCCCCATATCTGTTGTTACCAGTTCACCCTTCTGGTTTATTTTGGGGGGGGGGGGGGGGGGCGTACCCTCATTAGCCTTCCTCTTTTAGCTAATATACCTCTACAATCCCTTCTTACTATTCTTTGCAACCTTTTCCTACTTCAGCTCCAACTGTGCCTTGGCTTTCCTGATCTTGTCCCTGTGCATCTGGGTGACATCCCCATATCCTTCCCAGGCCACATACCCCTGCTTCCACTGCCTGTGCAGTTCCTTCTTGTGCCTCAGTTTGACCAGCAGCAGGTCCTTGCTCAGCCATTTTCCTGCCTTCCGTGCTTGATTTATTACACATGGGGATCCAGAGCACTTGTGGTCTGTGAAAGCTGTTCTTAAAGAGTTGGCAGCTCTGATCAGTTCCTCTGTCCCTCAGGACAGTGTCCCAGGGGATTTCATCCACTAGAGTTCTTTAAACAGCTGGAAGATTGCTCTCCTAGAATTCAGGGTCCTGACTTCACTCTTGGCCAGCCCTATATCCCTCAAGATCACAGATTCCACCAGGAGTGATCACTGCAGCCCAGACTGCCTCCAATTTTGACCTCTGTTATTATTCCATCCACGGTGGTGAGCGCCAGGTCCAGTAATGCTTCTCCTCTCATTGGGCTATTACCTAGATAACTCAGCTTCTTGTGTGATTTCAGGGTATTTTGCAAACAAAGCCAACAGTGGTAGCAATCGGGTTCTCTGTGGGAAGACTCCCTTGTTTTGTTTGCTTTGTTGCCTCCATGTATATCCATGCTATAATATTTAATATAAATATTTAAGGCATTTTAAAACTAAAGTACTAGTCTTAAGAACTCTGTGACTACAGGCTATTGTACTGTGTGTATGTGTAGGTAACACAGATTTATGGAGCAAAAAGGAAATCAGTATGGACTGCAGGATGTATTACGTAAAACCCCTTCCTCTTTCCCTTTGTGTGCAAACAAACAGAAATTTGATATTTTAGGAGAAAAAGCAGGTCATGTGATGAACCAGTGTTGCATAATTCGGTGTTCTGCTGGGGACTGAAAAGCCCACAATTACTCTGAGGGTGTAGTTTATGGAAGGCAGACAGGTGCTTTATTTTTGATGGCACTCTGACATCCATATATACTAGTTAGAGACGTGGTATTTACCCATATCATAAGATCAGTTTTGTCAATCGGATGGCAAAGGACACCAGCTCGCACTGATCCTACAGAACCCTAGGCAAGAGTGCAGCTGAGACCCGTACTTTGTAGGAGCATCAGCAGCCACAACCTCAAGCGAGGACTCCTCGGGTCAGGGCTGAGTCTAAGCACAACTTCTCTAATTTACAGCCCCTCTCTGTAAAGACAGGGCCAAAGAAAAGGAATCAAGGACTGAACAGTGTACAGGAGAGTGGTGTGGCCAGCTGTAGAAAACCACTGTTATTTTTAACTTTGAAACACAGTCAGGTTCTTGAAGCATGTGGTTGAGACACGGCAATACACAGAATAGTAAGAACTAAGCAAAAATGTGTTCTTTTTCTATTTCTGTTCCAGACTTCTTGTACAATCACAAAAAGCTGACTGGTCAGGCATGGCTTAATTTCCACATCTGCAAAATTAAATCAAAACATGAAAGAGAATCTGAGGTTTTATTTAAAAATAAACTGTCTTACAAGAAGAGGCTGCATAAAGGTGACATATGGGTGCGGTGGAAGAGTGCAAGCATCAGCATATCAGGAGGTTGGTGGTGGAGAGAAAAACCTTGACTCACACAGTGCAGTGTTTTACTGCTTTGGGTCACTCTCCGTATTCTCAACTAGCGTGGGGGACCAGCTGTATCCCAGTCTCTGACAGCAACAAGAGGAGCTGGATGAGCTAACAGGAGCTGGTAAGAGACTGAGCTTTGTCCAGGTTAATGCCGTGCTTCAAATTCACATCACTGGAGACTCCTTGCAGCACCCCAGGGATGAACGCTAATTTAGCAGCTCACATCCGGTGCCTAACCCGAAGTGTTAGCTCATGGTGCTGCCCCTCCTCAGCACTCCCAGATTAGCTTCATGCTTTGTGTTGATAGCAGCAAGCCTTCAGTGGGCGGGAAACGCAGCTCCACGCAGGTCTGTTCCTGCCAGCACTCTTATCACTGAAACAAATGAGCCTAGCTTCTGCACTGAAGAAAACAATGGAGATCTGTAACAGACTTGCCAGTCAGTAGGCCAGAACACCCCAGGGCTTTGGGATGTATGCTGTGGCTTTTAAATAAAAAAAAAAAAGTCACTAGAAATTCTTGAACTTTCCTGCTGTGTTGCTGGCAAGGATTGAGCAGGCTCACAGCTAAGCAATGAGCAGATGCTGCTGCGTGAACAGAACTGTCACTCTGAAACTATCCACGCATTTAGAATAAGGTTTACACATCAAACGTAGATTCTGAAATCAGAAATGGCTGTTGTAGTCCCCTAATCTGATTACCAGCCAGAAATATTCAACCAGTAATTCCTGCCTCTTTACCCTGTTGGCAGGGTAAAGAGTGTCTCCTTGAGGAGGAGCTAATTCTGATTCATGGCATTCAGAAATCTGATGGGAAATCCATAGTTTCAACTGAGAAAGGCAAGAAGATTTGGGTTTCCTTCATATAAGGAATTCTAGCAACACTGATTTACAGAGATTTAATTAGTCAGGACAGGAGAAAACAGACCTGTGCCAGCCCCAAAGGTTATGCAGCCGGAGCTTGTGACACAGGGGGGTGAGAGGCTGAACGGAGGCATCAAGGGGCCCCGCAGGACACCTGAGGGGTACCCAGGAGTGGACTTCAAACTCTGGTCACAGTTAATGTGCTGGAGAGCAAGGAAAGCAGGGAGGGAAGTGCTTGGTTAGAAGTTGTAACTACACAGCTTTTTCCAGAAAAAACACCGTTAAGAGCCAGTTGTGCCCTGGGAGCAAGCCAATTTCCTCTCTCAGTGTGTATGCAGGCAGCACAGCAGAGCCTGAAGCCCCAGACACGTCACTTTGAGCCACCTACCTTCGAGCAGCCTACAAAACTCTGCCTACAATATATCTGACCTCGTTTCTTATGCACTTGTAACCTTCTGGTGGCACATCAGCTTCGCTGAAGCTAGCAGGAAAGCCATTACGCTTGGATCCCAAGTGTAGTTTCGCTTGCAGATGTTGCACCTTCGCGTGTATCCACTTCACCCATGCCCGAGTCATTTCTACAGGGATTATGTAGAAACAGGGACTCTCACTGTTCCCCTTTGCTGTGAAAAGAATGCAATATTACCAGCTCTATAGAGGACTCAAAAGATGTTAGTGATGAAGCAAAAGGCTCTTTGGCACCACAAAGGGAAATCATAACTTAGCAGGAACATTTGAGGACTCTGTGCTTCCTCAGGACTTGCACAGTATAAACCAGATCTCCATATTTTATTGTAAGAGTATTAGGAATTGTACCGTTTTGTTCACACCTTATGAAAAGAAGCTGCAACTGGGAATGATGCTTTTACTGTTCTGTAATTCCATGTTTTTTCAGTAATTAAAGAGATTTTGGTTTACATCAACTGGCAACGAGAATAATGCAAAAAGGCTGCATGTAATGAGGACAAAAAACTTCACCACTTGGCCATGTTTCAGCTGAAATGAATGAAATACATAATATCTTTCCAAACGTAAATGTGATCAGAAAGAAAACAAAACCAAAATCTATCGCATGTGGTGGTGACACATACAATTAGTTCATTTTTATAGCATACATTTACACTTCATATGCCTATTAAAATATAAGAGATTTGAATTCGCTTTTTAGGTAAATGTATATTTTGCTTGAGCCTAGGAGTTAGACACCCGTCAAAAACATGGTTATGGGAAGGTGGGGAAATGTGTGTCAATGCTCATGCACATGTTCTGGAAACAACCACTCAAGTCCAAATGGGACCTTTTACATAGCTAATGACCTAACTGCTGCGATGTTTGCTGGAACAGTGTCCTGTGGAAAAGGTATTCCAGTTAAAGGGAGCTCCACGCAAGGGTGTGAATAGACAGTCAAAATAATTTCTGCAACACCTAGCAGTTTTACTTGTCAGTGACTGAAAGACCATCCCCATCTCACAGTCCAGATGGCTGCAGGCCACAAAGTCAATTTTTTCTGAAGTATGCACCACCACCTGGTAACTCAAAGTTTCTTGGGGATGATAAAGCACTTCTTCCCAAATCCTCCTAGGTAGCCAAAGGCTTCCACAACCTTTGGAAATCTTTCAGAAGCCAGCATATCTAGGAATCATGTTGGGCCCAGTACCCACAGCACAACGTAGCCCAGCTTGTAGACCTGACAAAAAGCAGCTGGGAAAAGCCCACTCTGACACAAAGCATGCTGTTAGCAGCCACAGCATCTCACCTGTTTTAGTGCTTGGCTGAGGGCAGGAAGCCCAAGGGCAAGGTATATCCCATTCCCGTGTTTGACGAGGGCACTGAGATCTTGGCTGTTACAGCTTACTTGCATCTTTGTAAGGAAGGGAAGGGAAAAAAGGAGCATTACAATAATGGCTCCAGAGTTCACCGACACTTTGAAAAACATCTAAATTTTGTGTTGTTTTATGATGTTTAAGCTCATAGGAGCTCAACTTTCACACTGCAGTCAGCGTCTCTAGGGGCTGGAAGTATCTTCCACCAGCAGCTTCAGGAAAAGAATCCGTTGGTTTGGCATCCATTAAGATTCTTACACAGTGTAGCATTTGTTGCTGCTCTAATCGTATGATCCCCTTCAAGGCTGTATGTAGATATTGTGGGGGCACACAAAGCAACCGTAACAGTAAAGAAAGCACTGGGACATCTACTGAAGCAAGGCAAGGGCTCTACTGCAAACAAAGAGACACCTGAAATACAGATCTCTGAGATGGGGTGGGAACAGAGATTGCCTGTGCATGTGCGGCCAGGTACACAAGTGTAACCAGTCTTTCCAGAACATCAGGTTGGTCATAACAACAAATGGTGGTATCACTCACTACATCTTTGTTAGTGACCCGTAACTCACACTCATCTTTTCTAGCAGGTAGGAGTTATAATTAAAAAAAATAAAAGGAAAAAATTCCATGCATTTAAGTAGTCAAGTTTGGTTAGATTCTGATCAGATTGCTTGTTAGATTTGTAACAAAACACTTCATAGTAGTTGAAGATTTTAATCTTTACACAAAAAAAAACAGCATTTCCAGACAAATTTGCGTAATAAAGGTTTTAAAGAATTATAGCCTAATAAACTGCTTTTTTTTTCCCCACTGCAACTCAAATTTAACATAGATTAAAACCTGCATTTTCTATTAATGAGGTGCAACAATTAAACCTTTCTGCATAGGTAACTTTTGTAACCAAACTACATTATGATAGCAATACATAGCTGTGTACCGAACTCTACAGTTGATGCATTTGCACATTTTTATTGACACTTTTTAGCCCAGTACCATGTACAACCAGTTATAAATGTCATTCTTTCTGACCTGTTAAGTGTATGCAGTCCAACTTCTAATTCCTAAATCAGGTTTTAATTAATGACATCTCAGGTTACTTAATGCCTTCACCTTACAAATAACTGTCATAGACATTTAACTCTGGTGGCACTAAGGACACATTGTGCTCGTAGGAGACGGCAGAGTTCCCAGCCACATTTACACATTTCTGACACTGAGGTAAGCAGCCAGCAGCTGGGAGTCTGGTGCTGCCTTATTTACCCTTACTGGAGTTAATGAGTGACAGATGAAAGAGAGAAAACGTGCGTGCCCCCAGGTTACTAAATAAGGTCAAAGTAAAGGATCTTATTCAAGAATATGAAGTAATGCAGGCATAAACTACATGCTGAGAGTCAGGCCAGTTTCCCATCCTCACAGGAGCTCCAAGCTGGCAGAACAAGGACTTTCAGAAAAACAAGTATCAGGAAGACAGTTCAAATTGTTACTGCATCTGACTACCTGCTTCATGTATCTGACAGACACTACCTCCGATGGCAGGAAAAATGTGTCTGAATGTATATCGACATCTGAACTCCTGCAGTTAAGCTTGATGGATGGCCTAAGTACTATTGGAAGGTACCTGCCTACCAGTCTGACCCAAACTGGAGCTTTTTCAAAAACGAAGCACACAGTCCACATTCTGTTTTCAAAGTCAGGTCACTGCAACTGCCAGAATCCCTACTAAAGTGGCACAAATCTCCTGGAGTAAGCAATATACCACATTCCATTACACGTAAATTAAGAGCAAAATGCCATCTTCTCCTCCTCCTTTCCTTGCATACCATTCTGTTTTTATGGCAGTGGTGAATGCTGCTTGTATGCAGGTTTCTGGGTAAAGTTTGAACTGACTGCACTAGAAGAAATAGTCACAACACTGGCAGCCTCTGTGCTGACTACACAGCGTGTTTTTCAGGACATTCTCACGCAGGACCTGCCTGCCTGTCTGCAGATTCAATTCTTGTAAGGAAGACAGAAACTCCTTAAGTAACTGTTTGAAAGAATAAGGGTTTCTAAAAAGAAATAATTATTTGCTGAATAAGTTTCTCACAAACGGAGTAAAAAATAAATTAAAAAACTTAGAACTGAACACAGAGATGACACGAGGATATTTCAATAGCATCAAAACTTATATTTTATCCCAGTTCTATTTGGGTAAGCTTGACAGAGAGATACAAAAAAAGATGAATGAAGTTTGCACCAGTGATTGAGATGTGTTAAGAGAAATGCAAGATGGAGTTCTCAAGCTAGCAATAACAGAGCTGCTGCTGGTGCCTTCCAGGTGGTGGTGATGGGTTATAGGGAGAATAAATCTAACACCCATCAGGCCTTTGGGAAGAGAAGAATCAATATAAGGTTATCTTACACAATACTGTCTCTCATGCCCCGAAGAGCTACAGCCATACATGTCTCTTTCACATCCTCTCATACTACTACACGTCATTACAGTCTGTGAAGAAGAGTGTTCAAAAAACTCAATTTAGCTCTCCGAGAAGCTCCCCATCTCAACCAAACTAAACTTAGACCTGATTTATCCTGTGATTTTATTACAGCTGCGTGGAGAGAATACCTTACCTCAGACAGAGTTGATATAATACAGTATGAAATGCAAGGAGAAGTGGAGGAGGTTCAATAAAAAACAACCTAAACCACAGCTTTCTTGTAGTAATTCCTCCCTTCTATCTGAGAAGCAAATAATATGAAGTCAGGTGAAACCTGCTACAATTTTAGAGGTTTGTAAAGGAATCATCATACTGGTGTACATGGAGCATAAGTGACCATACACCAGAAGAAGTGGCCAAGCAAGAGTTAAGAGAATACTGTATATGCAGGAACAGGGACAGTCACAAAACCAAGAACAAACACTGGCAGAAGCAAAGAACTAGCAGAACTGCCTGGAGTGCTCACAGTATGGAGGCTATACCATAGATAAGAACGTACCACAAATGCAAAGCAGCAGTGTTACACCTCATCCTGGCTCTAAACTTCTTTGTCAAAAGAGCATAGAGGCTGGAGGGATCATACAGTGTTGGCACTAATGAAGAATCAAGGAGATGAGATGAAGACATGACAGCTAGGAGTCTTGCCTCTCCGTGTTATCACAAGTAACCCCAGTCTCTGTGAGAAAACAAAATCAGTTTTGTTTAGAACAGAGAGCACGTTCCCTTTCTGTATTGTGTGTTCTTACAGTGAGTTTTGCTGCTTTTATTGTGGCAACATAGAAAGGAAAAAAAAAAGGCTTTATTAAATTATATAAGTAATATCAGCACAATCTACAGAAGTTACTCAAACTCCAGTAGGTCTGAAAGTGGCTCACAATTTAAAAAAAAAAGTGATGAGGGCAGGGAAACTGTCTCAATCCAAGAGAGAAGGCATTTAGATTAAGTTCCAGTTTGTATAAAGGCTTATCTTGTACACTTGTGCAATTACATAAGCACACATATTGCAAGCTCAAGACAAACCATACATGACCACCGTTAATCTTAACAGAAGCCAAGTAGGTTGCAACAGTTATATATTTAATGTGCTGGTGTGATAAAACAGATTGTCCAAGCTGAAGCATCGTTAGCATGACAGAAAGCTTGCAAGGTAAGCTAGCTACAAATTTAAACAGTAGAGATGACCAGTTGCATAGTAATTGATAGTCAGCAGTAGTCACAAATGCTTCTTCCAGAGTTCTGACCTAAGTCAAAAGAGTTAAGTCAAACTATCCAAAAGACTGAAATCAAGAAAAAAATATTGTGCTGATGTTTTTTCTAATCTTATCTTACTCTGTGGTATATGTACACTTAAGGTATGCACAAAACCACCATTAAGAGCAAAGTTTAGTCCCTGACACAGAAGGCTTCGTTCACAAACACAGATGAAGTCAAGACATGATGAGCTGCTATATACACTCACAGCACACAACAGCCTTACCTGCAGCACACAGTATGACAAATGAATTCCAGTGTGGGATTTGGAAGAGAATGGTTCCTGACCTTCTATTATATAGGAGCACTGCTTTTTTAATTCAAGTCTTCTGTGATAGACACATGATTGGAAGCACACAGGTCAGCAGCATAGGTTACAAAATGCTCAATGTCCTCTTTTCAACCTCTCTTGCAGAGCACAATAAACAAATGCTCAAATTCAGTATCTACTTGACAAGTTTCGCCAATAGCAGCTTGGAGGATTGCTCCTTGTTCTACTGGAAAAGGTTCCCTTCAGGCCAGGGTGTGGTCTAGGCATATGCTGTGTTTGACAAGAAAGGAATGAAGTAACTCTCACGGCAGAGCTGGTACAACACAAAATTGCCACTGCCATACAAGCTCTATTTGTTATGCTCAAGAGTTAGGCATGAGTATACTCACTGAAAGATTCTGTACCTGTATTAGTGGCTGAATGTTTCAGGACTTTGAAGTCCAGTCAGAATGCTGCTCTAGAGAAGATGAATGCAAAAAAAAAAAAAAAAAATTACAGTACTCCTAACTCTCTCTTCCCTATTGAGATTAACATATTTTTTAAACCTATCCCTGCCCGAGGTAGGACTGCAGCTCTCCTCTTAGTCCCTCAGCCTGCACTCAGGATGATCTGTGATTACACAGATAATAAAAAACCTGCTATAACTAGTATAGAGAAAACATTCATGAAATAACATTGTTATTAAGGTCTTTGTAGAAATTTAATTTTCACTCACCAACAACCAGAAACACAGTAGGATATTGCCATGAACAGAGTACGTTACTGAGGGAATAGCAACTGCTGTCCCTTTAAGGCCAACATATTTCCAAGTTGGCTGATGGTACAAGTAAATTGAGTTATTTCAGCAGCAAGATGATGGTTACTAGTCCTCTACAACTTTAACTCTTCTGCTAATATACTTGCCATATACATTAAAAAAACAGAATGCTCAAAGAGGGTCACAACTGGGAAAATGACAATGGCTCACCGGGTATCCCTGAGATCCACTGCACAACAGGGGAGGGCACGCAGTTAGGCTGCGCATCAACAGCATCTACTGGCTTGTTTCTATCCACTGAAGAAGTCTGGTTGCCCAGCAGCCACTTTGCAACACAGTTATGCTGGAAGTCAGGCAACTTGAAGAGCTGAGCACAGTATCTGCACTATGAAATGTTCAACAGCCACAGGTTGACAGGAGGGCTGGTATAGTTTTCCCAGCTGGATCTCCCTCCATCATTTATTGCAATCTTGAGGCTGTGAAGAAAACAGTATTTATATGCGCTCTCAGATAACTTTTCCTGGAAGACTAGAATGTGTAAAAGAAACAACTTCACATTCAATCTACGCATCATATTGTTTTCAATGTAGTAGATGTGTCCTTTGAAAGTCTTAAGGCGTGTCAAATGAGAGCACAAGCAGACTCACTTGTTACTTCACTGGCATATTAAAAAAAGAATCCTGCCCTTCTCTTACAATGATACAGTTTTTCCAGCATGTATTACACATCAGACATATATACTTAAGCTCCAGGTGAAAAGGCTGTATTTGCAGTTTTTCTCCTTGTTTTGCAGTTTTGCATCTATACAGGATAGCACGATTCAGCATAAAGGCTTTGCAAAATTAGGCTGTGTAAATCTGTAGCCAGCAAGTGTCTTTTTATGGAATTCCTACCTCAAAGCATGGGTCGAAGTAATGAAACAGCAAACCAGAAAAAGCAATCTTGCTGTTTTGTTCAAAAAAAATTTATTATAAAAGAAGTTAATAAAAACTCAGTTTCAGTTACTAAAATCGCATTCACATTTTACATATAAAACAAACAAACAAAAATAACCATCCAGTGACTATTACAGCGTTTTTCAATGGTTGGCACTCGGGTCATATGATCACTCATTTTCATCCACCATCCACAGCAATCAAAAAATCAATTTTTTTGGTAATCCTGAAAAGTGTAAATCACAATGTTACCAAAGTAAAGGGGTTCAGTCCCCTCCTTGAGTTTTTAATGCTCATTTAATACTATTCTTCACATTCATTTACTCCAAGCTAGTTAATGCTGTCTGCAGCAGCACAATATTTCTATTTCAGTAAATCTATGGGGGACTGCCAGAATCAAAGCCAACTTGCATCAGTAGCTGTACTCCATATGAGTCCCAAATTCCATAATTATGGGTTAATTGCATTTGGGATACATGTATTTCTCTTTGTTGGTATAAAAAGTTAGCCAATTAAATCTATTCTAAATCTATGAAAGGCAAGCTGTTCTAAGACTTAACCCTGCCCTACTGCATATACTCTTAATGATCTTTTTTGCATACTGTCTGCAGGAGGTAGCGGCCCTTTTTGTCTATGACTCATTCTTTAACCGTGTTTTTGTTAGTATCAGCTGTAGAGATGCAGGGAACAGCACTTTTCTGATTCCATTCTATCTGTCCTCTCCTTTACTCATGTGCTATTTAATTATAATGTAGGTAGCTTATACCATCGTTGCCTTGTGGGATGACAGATATGAAGTTTGCTATGGGAGGTCCAATTGTTTTTGCCTGCCCTGTAAGCAGAATTGTCCTCTAAAATACACTGGCATTGAATCATTCCCATGAACTTTAACGGAATACCCAAACAGCAGAAGTTTTTAATCTTAGATATGAATGGACTTTTTTTTTTTCAAGCCAAAGTAGAATAGATCTGAGATTAGGTAGGTTTCCTACACTGTGTTGACTTCAGGAAGAGTTTATTGCTGTTATCTTCTACATTCTGTTTTGTGAGTTTACAGCTCTGTAGAAATGCAAATCTGCAGGACTGGAAATCAGTGTTCTGGGAAAGAAGTGCTGTATTTGACTATGTGTTTTCCAGGGTGGAGAACATGGACAATGATGTTATAATAACATCATTGTCTCCACATACCTCACAGATGAGCAGTAAGTGGTAGCAATAGCTAGCAATGATGTATGCTTAATACTTTGTCATTCATTTAGTTCGTGAGTTTTCCCCTGACAATAGTTTTTTTTTTTGTTTTGTTTTGTTTTTTTTTAAATTTTCCCTGAAGGGTACAGCCACTGCACATTTAAGTTTGGTGAACACTCCTGAAGGCTATAGCATTTTGTTCTTGTGGAACAGCAGCACTTCATGGGGATGTAATTTCTCTCTCCCAGAAGCAAGCCTCTGGTGCCAAGATTTTGTAAGAGGGCACCCACTACTAACTGCTTCAGTCTACTCTAAGTTCTAGAGTGCTGCCTCAACAGGGCTGAAGGAGAGATGCTATGCAAGATGCAAGCACAGCTTAGTTTGAGAATTTCAAAGGATGAAATTTATTTTTCTTTGAAATGACTTCTGCACATTTTCGTTCTCAACAGCACTAAAAAATGCCGTATTTCCACCTTTATTTATAAATAGACTGTAGGATTATTGCTCTTCCAAACTAAAAGCATATTCACATTTTAACTTGATGCTCATGCCATGTAAGGTCATCAAACAAAATCCAGGGTAGCAAGCTTGCTAGCTCTAATTTTGTCTCTCTCCTTTAACGTCAGTTGGGACTAGGAAATATACCTTTGGTACACTTGGGTTCTATCAGCCTAGCTAAGGCAACAACAGAACATAAATTTTCTGATGTGCATCAACCAGCACTGGGAGGAAACAATATACTTTTTAAACTGATATTCAAATGTCTCAGGAAGCAATGATGACTTCCTAAATGCCTTAGTTATATCCAATCTCAAACCTTATAGCATTTAACACTGATTTCACCTTGCTGAAGATGAGACTTTTGTAAAGACATTAAGCCAATTAGTGTTCTAGTTCTGATACAGCTCTGGGAACCTTGTTCATTGATAAATTAAATATTTTTAAGTCGCAGAGCTCAGGGAAGCACTTCCTCCTCTTTCCTGTCCTTTAGTTAATTGGCGTATTTTGGGGCATGGACTCGAAAACAGTAAATCACAGATCCTCACATGGTGTCGCAGAAGGAGATAAAGAGCTTAAATTAAGCAATTAATTACATACGGGAACCTGACAAGTCATGGTACTGAGGTCACCAGACAGTGTGTGAATAGTTAAATGATTAAAGATTCTAATGAGTTAATGCATTTTACTTTTAAATTGACAAAGACTATCAAACAATGAATTGAAGTGCCTAAAAAGTAAGCTAAACTCTAACAATTTATCTGTCTGAACTCAAGAGGAAATGTACTTTCATGCAAGTATTTGCATTCCTAAAATATATATGACTTTAGTATCAAAGAGCCTCGTACTGACAAGAACAAAAAGCTGACAATAACCTGACAGCTGCTATCTAGCAAATTTCGGCTGTCAAGGCAACAAACTCCCAGTTTAAGACCTAACATTTGCCTCTCTGATAGAAGTCTGCCTAGTCCAGTGTCTGACAGAAGTCTTGAATCCTTAGAGCTTTATTACTATGAAGGTAAGAAGCATGTGCTACTGTCTGGGGGAAAACCGGACATTCCATATGGAAATTAATATTAGAAAATAGGTTTGCCTTTTAAAAGGATCACTGCAATGTGCTTAGAACTTCCTTACAGAGTGATCATAACACTTAACTTGCTTAGTCCAAGGGAGACAGCAGAAATCTCTCTTCTAAAATCTGATCTACAGTCTCTGATCTGTCACTTAAAAGAATGAAATACCATGTTTCTCTCATACTCTCCTCCCCCCATTTTCTCTCTCTCTCCCTCTTTTTTTTAAAGTGACTTCCACCTCAGTTCAGTAAAGTGTCTCGGGAATAGAGGGTCTAATAGTTGCCTCTAACTTACTATGTAGTACCACACTCCATAATGGAAATTAATGGTATTAAAAATTTATTCTAACAAATAGATTTCAAAAAGCTTTTTTTTTTTTTGTACTAGTTCTGCTAGAACACAGAACTAAGCCATTCTCACCCTGAAGTGTTTATCCTAAAATATAAATTGTCAGAGGGCTTCAGATGGTGCTGGTGCCCAGTTGTCCATTCAGAAGGTTTTTGTTCTGAAACACTGGAAGCATCACTTCCCCTCTGAGCTTGTAGCTCCTATTTTAAAACAGGTGAAACATTAAGACGTTACCTTGATCTATTCCTTCTGTTCTTTTCCTTTTTAAATTTGGAATTGCATTTTGTTGCTCCTTTACAGCTTCTGCAGGACAGTTGGGTCTGGGTAGTTGGCTTCCTGGAGTGGGTCCTGGTCGATTACTGAAATACTTCTGTTTCAACGCCTTAATGATAACGGAAGAAAAATAACCAAATAATTAGTATATAGCATCAGAACTCCATATATTGAGAAACTATAATGAAATAAATCACTTTGTATGGAAGGTGTTCTTGGTACAAATCAAGGTTCGGTGTTCTCAATTATTGCCATGGTACTTTGATTTTATTAGACATGCAATAATTGCGAACTGATGTTTTTAACTTGTACTGAGACATCTAAACATCCAAACTCTAGACTACACTGCAGGAGATTTTGGAGATATGAACTTCTTGTTTGTACAAAGAGCTTACATACTGAAAAACAGATGAGACATGAAGATAAAAAATAAAGAGTAGAAAAAGGATTAAAATAATATGATAAGATTTAGGGTCCAAACACCTGTTTTGCTAGCTTTTAAGATAAGTCTTCCCCCACAATTTCTTTAACTGTGTTGCTTCTACAATGTAAACTGCAAGAAAAATGTAGTTTGAACTAGAAAAAGACCAACACAAGTTAACAGGGATAGTTTCATGTAGCAATATTACATACCCTATTTTAAACTTTTGGAGTTCCACAGGTTCCATAAACTGTGGAATATGGTCTTACCTAAGCTGTCTCTTAGGTAAACATTATTCTTGCTTATGCCAATAACATAGTATTCAGATCAGGATGCTGGTTAAAATCATCAGATTTCCAAATAAAAAGAGTCAAAAAAGTTTAAATAAAATAGAAGAGACTAGATGAATTAAGGATGAAAACCTTTTAAGAGCAGGGAATGAGACCTGCTACACCAAGATTTAAGTTGCAAACTTTAGGTAACTGAATTTAGAATATCAAATATAATGATTGTCTGTAGACCATGACTCATACACCTTTATTTACATTCTCTTTATAATTGGGCGTGGAGATTATTAGTGAGAATTGTTCATGCCTTTCAGAGTTCTCTGTATAAAACACTGGAAATATATTTCTAACATTTCAAAGACAGGTACCTGACATTTCATTTCAAACCTGGTTTACTAGCTTCAAACCACATTTATTTGATATTAACAGTAGGTTAATGAACATTAGGACACAATGCAAGCATATGATACCTGAGTAGCTGTAACCCTAGCACAAGGATTAAAAGTGAATAAGCCTTGCAGAAGACTGAGCAAATCATCACCAGCTGCACTGAAGATATGCTGAAGCGGCATCCCAGGGAAAGGCTTAAATGTGACATAATCTGGAAGACTTGTCATATCCTGCAAAGACAAAAATGGGATGCAAGTATTTTCAACTTTGAAATAATTCACCTTTTCACTTATATTGGTACAGTTGTTTCACACTTTCCGTTTCCAAGCAATCTGTCCTTCCCTTGCAAAAAAAATTGCTAACAATGAAAGGAAGCATGAAGGAACTTCATAGAGTGAGTGCAGACAAATGAAGTAAAACTAGCTTTGGCTTTTCTCTTGCAAACTCACATGGTAGAAAAGACAAGTTTCACTAAAGAACCAATCTGTATTTTCTCCAATGTAGTAACAGGCTGTCCTCAGAGTTTGCTGTTCATCACAACAGTTTTAAGCTACTTTTGAAATGCAAAATAGTTAAAGTTTTACTTGTGGAATGGAGGGAGGGAACAAGAAATATACCAAGCAGTTAAACAACAGATGAATGGCATACTTTTATCTCCCTTAGGTACAAAAAAAAATAAAAAATAATCAATCCCATTTTATTCAAATTCTATCTTAAAAAATTGCTATAGACAATTATCCAAACATCTATAAGTAATTTAGATCTCTAAACATCACACTAAGTTTATCCAACCAAAATAGAACACTAACACTGAAGTGAAAAATGTGTACAATCAGTCTCAGTTCTAAAGGTTTCAATTCTCAAAATGTGTGGGTTTGCAAATTAATTTGGGAATATCATCTCTGTTGTGCCATCAAATCTCCTATTCTGCTTTTCCCACCTGTTTCAACTCTTCTCCCAAGAATGCTGAAATGTCACTGCAAAACAACTTTGTACATTTCCTTTAGAATCTCAGCACGATGCAATTGTGTGGGACTAGTACTGCCTTCTATTTCTCCATATGGCTATAGCTCCACTTGGTGATTGTGCACCATTTACAGAAAGGAAAACCAGCACAGAGAGGGAACACAGGCAGGATGTGATTACTAGTTAACAAGTACAGAGGATGCTTCCACAACTTAATAAAACAGGACAGTGGGATCAGGGAATTCAGAACTCCCCAAGCCCTCTGGAAGAAACCATCACTGGAGAAACTGTGTCCTGTTTTATGTCAGCCTGCCTTAAAACCATGGTATGTGGGTCACTGTGCATTGTGACGCTATGTTTGGCTAAGCATTAGTGAACGACTGCATTTACTGTCATCTTGATCCAAGTAATTGTGCTACTGATTTGTATCTATTACTGTACTGTTACCCAGATAAATTGTTTATCCCTACAGTTGTTGGTCTGGTGTCTGTCACCACATCCTAAACTTTTAACTTGATTGGTTCACCTCTGGTCACAGAAGGGGGGGGGTATGGTACACAGCATCATGACCTGCCAGGGCACCATAGTGGTTGCCTTAATTGAGTTTTTTGGAGCCTTGCCCCACCCATAGACACCAGATTGCCTGATTGTGGGAACTGCCTATTCTCTTTCCCTAGCTGCTTTGATTAGAGAAATTCAAAACAACAAGCATATGCCTATCCTTCACTCATCGTTTCAGAAACACTTAGCATAATCTGTATAGAGACAATGCCTTTTGTCTCCCTACAAAAAGAATTAGGTCAAACCCAGTGGAGTACTCAGGCTGCAGTAGAAGATCAGACTTTCATTGCTGCCTGTGCTTAAAGTGTGTGGTCTAACACAGAGACATGAGTGCATTGCATGGTCCCCCTAAAGTAGCAGTATGTGCCCAGGAAAAGCTTGACCAGCAGCCTGAAGCTACATAAAAAACGGACTTTCTGAAACAAAAATACATAGAAATTTACATGCTGAGTAAGACAACTGGTACTGAAATAATTCTTAAAGCCCAAACCAAACTTAAGAATCCCAGCATTTCTGGAAACCCAACATGATGCTAATGGAGGTACAACAAGCATCTCTACATGCTTGTCCACAAACATAGCACCTGCTTTATGTGGCTAGGTATATTATAAACTTATTACTGTGGATTACTTAACCTGATTTGGACATAAATAATGTGATGGGTGGAGGGGGGGGGGGCCGAGGGAGGGGAGATGCCATACAGATTTCAGAATCAGATACCCAAACCCCCACTTTATGATCTGGAATCTGACTACAGGTTCCAGCAGAAAATATGGACTATATTTCTGGGTGTAAGTAGCTTAGAGTGAATGAGAAGTGCCCAAAGGACTCCTGGTTATTTCATGGCCAATCCCACAGATTTGGACTGAGCACAGCTAGGCTGGTCATCATTCTTGCTTTAGATGCAACCAGCATGGCAGATAAAGGGGAAGCTGTCCCAGTGAGACCTATTGGTACCCACTAGTTAAAAAGGGTCCACTCAGAGGATGGATACTGATTTGTATTTATTACTCCACAGTTACTCTGAGATGAACTATTTATCATTAAAGCTGTTAGTATGATGTCTCTTACTGTCTCCCAAACCTGTAACTTGCCCAGCCTAGCTTAAGCTCCTACTAATTGCCTTCAAGAGCAAGAACAATTTAAGTCTTTCAGGTTAAAGCAGATTAAATTAATCAAGCATCTCAAGAACATTAAGCAAATGCCATTCATTTCACACCAATAGCCATGCGAAATGTGGACCAAGAAAAGAAACCAAGAATCTCCATTAACATTGCTTGATGCTAACAACATTGCTATATTAAAAGTTTGCCAAGAGGAGGGAAAAAAACTTGGCTGCTTGTCCTCTTTCTTTTCAAGATAAGGCAGTTCCTTCCTCAAAACCTACTAAACTAACTGGTATATCACTTAATTTCAAAAGCTAAAACAAAGTAAATGTAAAAAAGCAAAACAAGGAAAACTAATGTCAGTGTGTTAAACAAAAAGACTCACAGGCCACTGTTCTTCTGTTGGAGTGCCCAGTGTTTCAAATATCCTTGTCAGCTGGTCAAGATCAGAGTCTCCTGGCAAGAAAGGAACCTAGGAAGAACAAAACAGAATTATACAACATAATTTCTCATTGAATTAGCTTCTGAACTTCAATTCTAGAAAGCAACTTTGAGTGCCTCCTCATAATTGCATTGTACATTCACAGCAAAACATCTTTGCTCACTAGCTGCCCACAGCAAAGTAGAGGATTCCTAATCATTTGAGGATTCCTAATGATGCTCAAATAGATTTTGAAGGTTTCTTGAAACCCAGGCTTAGTATCACTGACTCAATAGCATAGAAATAAACATATAATTAAACTACCGCCACATTAATATAAAATCTTTCTTTTCCTGTGTTCTTTTCCTTTAATTTCACATCTGAGCTGAAAGTTCAGTCTGTTGTTCAGTGATCTTTCCAGGATCTACTATCTCAAGTTAGGCTTTGTACAGATTCAAAACAAAGTAAATTGTAACTGGACAGCTAAAATAACAATAGACTAATAGAATTAAGATGACATTGAGGGTGGATGGTGACTCATACCCACTAAGACAGAAACAGTCTACCCAGTGTCACGTATCAATTAGATTAGGCAAAAGACAGAAAAATGAGATTTGTCCAGTTGGAGTTGTAGTTTGTGCATCAGGCACACAATGAAAGAGAAAAAAACTTCATGAACTAAAGTAAAATTAAGAAGAATTAGAGGCAGTATTTAAATAATTAGGACAGAAAGAACATAACTATCCCTGCTAGGAAGTGCATTCAGTTCTGGTGTCATAAAAATTGATGGAACATCAAATTCTTTCACAAAGCTCCCAGAAGTGCATTGTCCCTCTATCTAGTTTACCCAAGAAGAAAGAGATAAGACACATTTAAAACTATAATGGTGATAAAACACAACCATAAACACAGTTTCTGCTTTGTGGGAAACCAAATTACTCAATAGAATTCAACAACATATTTGCTTTCTAACTTTCCACAAGCTTACTGAACTTTAGAGAATCTAGTCCATGTTTATTTACCCATTACTAAAGCTGTGTAGACAACAGCCACTATAAATTCCTGTTTCTGAACCAGCAACTAAATTGTAACAGCACACTTGCTTGTATGATAAATCATACAAGGTAAAAGACATTCCAGGGTGTTTTCAGACAGACCAGTTCCCCAGTCTGGTTCATGACATGGTCACACAAACATTTAAAGAAAACAGCAGAAGCCACTTAATTGTGAAAGGTTAAGTTATAGTGCAGGCTATTTCACGCTTTCAGCTGTGTCTGTACCCTTGCCTGCCACTTCCTACCTCATATTTTCATGTTCTCTTGACAGAGCTACATAATACATTGTTTAATTCCATAAAACATACTTAAGGATGATTACATCTGTACACCTTATTCAAGAGTGATATATTAGAATCCTGTCGGTTACCAGGATTTCTTCAAACTACTTCACTCCAATTTGTTAAGCAACCACAGCTTAGAATAACATCAGTACATCTCCTCATGACAAATAAACCCATAGTTATCGTACTGGTGCTAATTATTTCCAGTTACCGGGAAACAATTTGTGAGGAATAGAATGTGAGTATCTGTGTTGCCAGATTTCCAGAAAGATCACAAATGAAAACGGATGGAAGGCTGTATGAAAGGTAACATTCAGAGGACTGGAAGAGTTAACTGCTCTACTTACCTTCCCCAAGGCAGGATGTGTGACAGTTTGCTGCAATTTTTTGCTTAGCTGTTCTTAAAGACTTCCAATGATTGTGACAGTTATGTAACCTCAGTCTATTTGAAAACTTCACTTTCCTTACAGTTAACAAACTTCTGGACGAAGGGAGGGGGGAAAAAGCTTTATTTTCTAGAGAGTAGCCTAACTTCCTTTTCCTGCTACTGTTACAGCAGAGAGGAAGCCCGCACCTAAAAGCTGTAGCGTAACACACTGAAGAGCAAATATAAATGCTTATATTTGAAAACTTACCCTGAGGAGCAACTCTGCTAAAATACAACCGACAGCCCACATATCAACACCAACACCATACATTCTAGCACCAAACAATAATTCTGGGGCTCGGTACCACCTGAAAAGAAAAAAAAAATTAGGAAAAAAAATCACCTGATTCTTCTGATATTAAGTGCTGTATTCAGTAGTAATGCATGAACTACAAAATGGATTCTGCTCCTGACTGTGTATTTTTCTAACACTGAAGAATTGCAAAGTCCTTTGTTAAAAAATAAAAATAAAAAACTGTTCCTCACCACAGGCACAAGAATAACCACAGATCACCTACAGTTTCAGCTGAGCTGTTTGACAAGCAACAGAACTGTAGACGTGCAAAGGAAAAAGTAGGCAGGTTTGCAAGTTATAAACCATAGTTTTCTTTAAATTTGACATTCATGAAGTAACACAGAGAGAATTCTTTCCAGCTTTTAGAAACACCTGTAGCAACAGACCTAAGGATTAGTTCTGTACAAAATAAACCTTGGCAGTAGTTATTTAAAGCTGCAAAGAAGATATGGTACATACTGCATTTGAAACTACAGTATCAACTCTGCCTCTTCAGTGAATGAAGGTGTTAAAAAGGAACAATTTTGCCTAAATAGTTTTAGCATTGCAGCAAACAAAAAGAATTTTTTCTTATTTTGCAATCCTCTACTCTTTAAGAGTACATGTCTTAATTAAGCAGGTCATAAATGACATTGGTAAACCCTTTGTCTCATGTTTTTGTATCATAACATGCCTAACTAAAAAAAAGACTCTAGATCACAAGATTAGCAGCAAGTAACAATTGTCTTTCTCTGAAGACTAGGCTTATAGGTAAATGAGTACAATTTTCATGTGCTTCAAAGGAATGTCATACCATAGAACAATTGTCATCGATACAAATTCCAGAAGCTCTTACAGACTTTGCCAAATAATGCTGTCTTGTGTTTTCTGTTTTAAGACTTTTCCCCCTACAGATATATAATGAGGTATACACTAAACTCTAAACATGTTGATTTGACATGGTTTATTCCAGGAGGCAATATAAAAGAGCTACACAATCAGTGTCTAAGAAACAAAACAGAGTATGCCTTACCTTGTTACTACTTGGTGTGTATAAACTCTATTTGGGCTTCCAAAAGATTTTGCCAAGCCAAAGTCAGCCAATTTTAAAACCCCACTTTCATCTAATAACAGATTATTTGGCTTAAGATCCTGTCAGTTTAGAAAGAAAAGAATTAATCCTGTCAGTTTTGATAAGGACAAATATATATTGAACCTCCCAGCAGGTGTCCAGAAATGGCATTCTAAAACTCAGCGTTCTGATTCTATTACAAGTTTACATAGCAACGAAAAACAAACAAAACACAAAATCAAGTATTTCCTTATACATGAAAATCAAAACTAGCCAAACACTCCTATTTGAATATTACAATACTTAATCTCCAAAGCATAAAAAGATGATCAGTTTTGCAGGAATATTAGTTTTACTGCATTGATTGTCAAATCAATAACAAAGACCTAGCCAATTTTTTCAGACAACTGTAGAAATAATGAATCTGGTACAGTTTAATACAGTAATGGTGTTGTGGGTTGGCCCCAACCAGAAGCCAGGCAGCCCACACACCTATGACCACCGATACCTTTAGTGGGTCAGGGGAGAGAAAAGGAAGAGTAAAAGCAAGCAAACTCATGGATCGATATAAAGGAAGTTTTACAGGTGCAGGAAAGGGTAGTGGTGGGGAGGAAAGCAATGGACGCAAAGGAAATCACTCATCTCCTCCCACAAGCAGGCCATTGCCCAGGCAGTCTCTAAGCAGTGGCCATTCTTCCCCTGCCTGATGCTGAGCATGATGCTACAATATACAGAATACCCCTCGGGCCAGCTTGGGCCAGCTGTCCCTGCTGTGTCTGCTCCCAGTTTCTGGCCTAGCCCCAGCCAATTTGCTGGACTAGGGACAGAGTGGTGGAAACTGAGAAAGCCTCGACAATATACAAGCACTGCTTACCAAGAGCAAAAACACCAGCGTGCTATCAACACCATCTTGGCCACAAACTCAAAATAGAACAGGTGACTACGAAGAATATTAACTTCATCTCAGCCAGACCGAGTTCACAGTTCTAATTAAAAAGTCACATACTTGAGATACTTTTATATATGCGCCTACCTGATCACCGTGTGTAACTCTTAGCATTTCTGGTGTCACTATTGCCACTCCATAATGGCTAGCATGAAGTCTTACACATTAAAAACCTATGAATTTCAAAACCATCTACGTTCTTAGACTCAACTTCTACCAAATGTGACTTTCGTTACAGGCATAAAGGTTGTCAATTTAGTGCATGCTTACCCTGTGTAGAATCCAGTGCTGATGTAAATATTCTAATCCTTGAAGCGTCATCAGCATGTATGCTTTGATGTGAGACTGAGTCAACACAATACTACTATCCTTTATAATTACCTGTAAAGTGTTAAATTGATAGTGAAGCTTATCATGCAAAATTATCTTTCTCCAGTTCTTTTGCGAAACAGTTATTTTTATCCTTTAAGACAAAGTTTGAATTGGCTGCCGTGTATGCGCTCCTGTTCTCATCCTTTCTCCAGAAAAGTGTGTCTCTTCTGATTTAGTGACCAGAAATTTAAACAGGGAAACCAGACAGCCTATACGAACTTTGCATAACCAGCAAATAAGAAAATTAGGGAAAAACTTAAGTTTATCATTTTAACTCCATTCCAGTTTGGTACCCTATCTTACAAGTCAAAGATGTGCAAATAAAAATGTTAAATGTGCTAATCAGATCAAACAAATTATATTCCTACTTGTTGTTTCTTCCTCTGTGCAAATTAAGCATCTAACTTTTGTAAATGTATCCTTTTCCCTTTTCAGGAAGGCAAGATACTTTAGCCCCTATAACATATTTTAACAAACCTATTCAACATTCAGCATTCTTTTGTCTTTAACAGTATAAGCATGACATTGACATAGAGTTTTAATACTTTCTACATTACTTCCCTCAAATTGCTTGCTAATATTAGTTTGCAGTTCAAAAGCAGCTTTTCCCAAGCTTTAAGTTGTTTGAGATTTACAAAATAGCTAAAACTATACAAAGAATTTCAAATGTGCAGCACATTCCCAGACACAACAGGCTGCAGACCCAAATGTTGGCCTCTGAGTGATACCACAATGCAAGTAACTTACAGAGCATTTTATTCATTGTTGTACACTGTATCTTCTTCATTTCTAAATACTACATAGTTACTAAATAACCAGAATGAATCCTCTACAAAGTGTACTTGTTACTGTAACTTCTATTAGCAAAAAAACTTCTGTCTCACATTCCTCTGGGCTTCACAAGCCTGTCAATGTTTTAATATTTTAGATGCTAGCCCCAGTGTTTAAAGCCATACCTGTAATGGGTTAGCTTAATAAATACATCAACTTCCATCCAGACTATGGACAGATACATAGATCTGACATGACTGCTACCTACAACAGTCTTCCAAAATGAAGAAGCTGCAACAAAATATATGATACAAAGCCTTCAAAAGACAAACTAATTTAAGATCTTGGAGAATGAAACACCTGCAAGATTCAGACTCAGAAGTACGCAGCACTGTTATGTTTAAAAGAAGGGTGCAAAAGTGTTTGACTTTTAGCATCAGATCATCACTTGGTATACTTTGCTTATTTGGTATACCACGCTTACTTGTACATGTTTTGTGCTATTGTGCTTGACAATTGCATTCTAAAAGCCTAGCCTGTGACCAGAGGTTTCATGCTCTACTAAAGACCCAGAAAACTAACATAGTAAACATAATTTGTTTCCTGAAGATTATTCTGACAAAAAAAGTATTTAGAAGCAGAGGCATTTTGAGAACATAGAAGAACCGTACAACTGTTCAGGCTTTTTAGAGGCATAATCTTAATCAAGTTACGCAATTAAATGTCATCTTTCTAGAAATCAGTAAGTATAAAGCTGTTAAGTACTTTTTTCCAAAAGCATTTGAAGATACTGAAATAATCTTACCTCTAGATCTGTTTCCATAAAATCAAACACCAAGCTAATATTGGATTTGTGGCCAAACGCATCTATAAGCTGTAAAAACAAAATATATTATGATGTATTATACTCTCCGACTTCCAGTTTTCTACAATTCTACACTGTTTTAGTCTGCCTGTGGATTTTTAGGTTGCTGTTGGGGCTGGGGCAGACAAGCACAGAGCAACTATTGCAAAGACCTGATAATCAGAGAGCAGTATAGCTCAGACACCTTAGTTTTGTCTCAGCTCTGATTTTCTTTAACATAACCTGTAAGAAATTGCATCGCTTCGGTTCTTCAACCTGCAATACAAAACTTCTTACTTAGTTTAGCTTCTTAACTCAGTTGCCAAAGAAGTCCCCGTCAAGTGTGGTAACATTTTACACAACTGCTTTTCCTTTCTGAAGTTAGAAATTTTAAAAATAGGGTTAACTTCACCACGTTAACAACAACAGAAACCCTAACACACACCTCTCCCCATACTTAGCTGTTCTACAAAACTCCTACCCTCTTCTTGAACGAATTCACGAATGATCACAATTTTGCCAATTTCCTTTTAGAACTGCTGATGCTATCTGCTTCAATAATACCTGTGGTAACAAATTTGAGAGATTCACTATGTGCTGTGTAACTTAATACAGTCCTCCCTCCCAACCCCCGAAACATAATGTGAACACATCTCCCATTTCTAGTATTGTTTTTTTCCCCCCCGTATCCTTTCTGCATGCACTTTACCTGCTACCTCAGTTTTGTAGACCTCCCAACACCCATGAGGAATCCTCAACTTTTTCATAAAGGAAGTGCTCCATCCCATTACCATTTTAGTTGTCCTTCTCTACATATTCTCTATTTTTGATAGCTAAAGCAACTGTTTTGAAAGTAATTTCACAGTCCAGAAGAGTACTGTATTTCCAGTCTGAAATTTTTAATAAAGTATCTGGAAAATTAGTATCTGCTCTAATACTTATGGCAAAGCTTCAAATGATCTACATTAACTAATTTTGAAGTATCTTCAGCTCCAGCTAATTATCTGTAAGTCAATCTGAATTATCTGAAAGTCAATCTAATCAAAACCAAAAAGACACAGGCATTACTCCTACCAACAGGTTTTCAATATCAGCACTAAAACCTAGTAAGCCCCGTGAGTCACACTGTAACATCGCTTACTAAGCTTGCTTTTGCCTGTCATTGGTTTCACCCGAAGGTAGCAAATTCAGATAAATTCAGTATTGCATTCATATGCATATCTATCACAGAGATGCAGAGTCAGGCGATTTAAGTTTCCACAAGTCTTCCCACCTTTAATTTCCACAAAACCCAAGAGGTGTTTTGTGGAAACAGTAATAGGAGTTCAAAATTAAGGACTTTGTTATTGAAATAAGTGTTTTGCCATAATAACTGTTTGACTGCTCATTTTAGGTGACAAACAGCTACAATAAAATTAAGTAGCATCTCCACAACCCAAATAATTCTGAATTTGTTTGAGATTGTACCAACGGTATTTGGGGACCACTTCTAGAAGTAGCATTCATTTTACTTACACCAATAATATTTGTATGGCTTAGCTCCTGTAACAACTTTATCTCCCTGAGGGCTGTCCTGTTGATTCCTACATTGACAAAAAAAAGATGAGAGAACAAAATTAAAAACTTTATCTTAAGCTTCAGAGAAACCTCTCATTCTGTTATTCACTGATTTACTATTAGAATCTACTTCCTCACCACTCATCTACTTGTCAAATACCAAGTACATCGCTATAGATATGTTGATTGCTGAAGCCTAAATAAAGGTGGGTGTATACTTTTTTCATAGCAAATATATCATGAGAATCAGAAGATTCAGATTACCATGTTCTTGAACAAGCCTAGAAAAAAAAAATTGTTTTGTTTTAAAATAAAAGTTACTTCTTGCAAATATTAGTTCTTCAATGTGTCATTTCCAGAGGGAGGCACAATGGCAAACTTCATGAATCTCTTCTTTCTGAATCATAGAAAGAACGTAGCATTATTTAGAAAGGCTGGAAGTGCACGCTTTTCTATACTTGTATTGTGACAAAAAACAGTAGAATGGCCAAAGCCTGCTCATCTGAATGAGAATCTTATAGAGAGATTTTATACAGAAATCCTGGGGCATGCACTTTGGCAGTCACACAAGCTGCACCACATCAGACCCTGATTCCTGGGTCTTCCTTCGAATAATGCTGGTATGTATGGCTCACACAACTGGCTGGCAAGCACACATTCCTGTAGCATGTTGTGGAAGAGTTTCAGCTGCACGTGAGCTGAAGAAGAGTGTTCTCCCAAAACTTGTGATCTCATTCAACATGTAATATTCCAGCAAAGCTTTGGGCAAAGCGATGGATTAACCTACACTCCTGCTTTGCCTACTTTAATTCCAATTTTAGACAGGCACCTGAAAGCAGATTTTGCCTGCTGAAACCTGCTGTAGCACAATTCTTGGATTCAGAAAAAAAGTATTCCAGGGTGTTACCAGATAGCACAAGGAAACCAGACACGATTACTATTTTTTGAACTGTAGGTTTAAGCCAAAGGTAATGACTGTCTTTGAAGGACATTAGCCCAGTGAAGACCAGTTGAATCATGACTCTGTGGCGGTCAGCACAACTGGTAGACTCTGGAATGTCTGAAAATTCATCCTTAGAATGAAATTAGAGATTTGAGAGTAAAAACTCATCACAAGAAGTTGGTTCCCTGAAGGATGGCAGTCTACACACATACTACTGCATTTTTGGGCACCACATGGGTAAGTAAGAGATGACCATAATTACTGGGTTTTACTTGCAATACCCATGCCTAAAGACATGTGGCTGGTCAGAGCACATGATCAAAAGACACTGCTGCATGGGCCTATTTCTCAACACAAGAAAAACAAACACCAAAACCAACCCATACAGAGACAAGATTTTTAAGATTTTGTTTTTATGAACTTTTGTTCCAGCGTAAATCACAAAAATGGCACAAAGCAAACATCTGACAACAGAGCCAAGCACTCCCACCTGTCTTAAATATTTAAGGCATAGAGACACATCAAAACAAGACAGTATTCTAAACTCAGTGCTGTGAATACTATTATTCTATATTGTGTTATTATTCTACTTAAATTGAGAAGCTAACTGGTTATATATACACAGTTAGCCATGGTAGATGTTATACACAGTTACAAAGAGTGTGCAGATATTTCTGTTGCTTTTTTCTGTCTCTCCAGGTTGGGAAGCAGCCCTCAATTAGACCTTACACTGAAGGAGTAAATAAAGCTCATTTTTCCTCAGCCAAGCTACAGTGTGAAAAATTAACCCAGCAGTTTGCAGAAACAAAGAAAACAAAGCCACACAACATGAACTTGTTTTAAAACTTACCATCTTTAGCTTCTGATCTATTCCCAAGTTTAATCTGAAAAGAAATGTTTCACATTATATAAGGTTAAGCCATCTGCGCCAACAGTTAGGGTACATTCTTCAGTGTTATTACTCTAAAACAGAATGAGTTTTAGCACCAGAAAGTGTTTTACCAGCTAGGCAGTTTTTTCTTCAGAAGAAAATTGATTTCACAGCATTAACTTTTATGAAAGTTGAGAAACATTCATGATGGCTGAAAACAGACATGTTACAAACTGGCAGCACATAATGCTTTGTACTGAAAAAGCTTTATGATACCAGTACCAAGCCCCTCCCCTGGGAGAAGTGAGGCCAAGAAACTGTCAGTCTTCTCAGAAGGCCTTACACCCTGCCCAAGTACAAAGAGAACACTAGTTTTACTAGAATCATTCTGTCTTGAGCATTTGCTGAATGAACTTTCAAGTACTGACATTTCCAGGTGACAAAAATAAGAAAAGGGTACAAGCAAGCAGGTACACTTTTTGCAACAGCTGCTTGTATTAGCAACCCTGCAAGAACAGTGTTGTAACGCTAAAATGGACTGGTGTATACAATAGTTACTTGTTATTGATATGGTTCAACTTATCTAAGTAAACCTCGGCTCTTATCTAACCACAGTACCATAACATACAGTTTCATCCCTCACAAAACACTGCTAATCACCTCTTTCTAGTACAAAAACTTCCCGTAATCTCTTCAAGTAGCATGAAATTAAACACTTTATGACAACAGCAGTTTCAATGTTTGTATTTGAACAGCTAAACTGAAGATATGAGAACACTTTTGCCAGATTCTGCCAAAAAACTGCCCTCTATAGTTAACCAGGAGTAACATTCTTGGACTGAAGGAAGTAATGAACAGCAGACAAAAAGATTTAAGTAGGAAGCTTTTACTAGGGACTAACAAAGCCTTGAATTCGGAAGCGTGTGCTTTATCTGGTTTTAATGTGTAACAAACCATTTCAAGCTGCAGGCAGGGTAGCCCTTCAGAAACTCAGATCTAGTAGGACTGAAGGTCGCCTTTCTTCTTAGAAAAACACCGTATTAAAGGCTGCTGAAGAAGCGGGGTGCTTGGAGAAAACGCTGCAGATAAAGGAAGAGCGCTCCCCCAGCCACTGCGGGCCCGGAAAGTACAGCACTGACACCAGACGGCCACGGCGCGGGGAGGGAGGCACGCCGGCACCCACCTTTTTAATAGCCACGATCTGGTTGGTGTTCTTATCCCTCGCTTTGTACACGGTGGCGAACTGCGGGGAGAGAGAAAGGAAGAAGGGCGAGACAAGGCGTGACGGGGCCGGGACGGGGCCTGCAACGGGCCCCGGGCCGCTCACCTGCCCCTCGCCGAGGAAATCGAGCTTCTCGTAGCGCTTGGCCCGCGCCCGCGCGTCCATGGCTTCCGAGGGAAGGAGCGGGGGGGGAGATGCGAGATGGCGGCGGGCCCGCCGCTGGCCTTCGACACCGCCTCGCTCCCAGCCCGGGACCGGGACCGGGACCGGGACCCGCCCCGGCAACCGCAGGCGCCGAGGCCTCAGCTCCGCCGCCGCGCGTCACCGCCTGCGCCACGCGGGGACCCAACCGTCACCGCCCCCTGTAACCGTCACCGCCCCCCCCGTAACCGTCACCGCCCCTATAACCGTCACCGCCCCCCGTAACCGTCACCGCCCCCCGTAATCGTCACCGCCCCCCCCGTAACCGTCACCGCCCCCGCCCCCTCCATAACCGTCACCGCCCCGCTGAGGGGTCCCGTGAAGAAGCAGGCAGTGGCGCCGCGTGGCAGAATGGCTAATTAGAAAAAATATTTTAATGGTGTGCCGCTGCTCGTTAGCCATCGACGGGGGAGGTGTGCGGGGGGGTCATGCCTGCCCTCCCGCCCCTCGCGGCGGGGTGCTGCTGAAGCCGTGTGCGGGCGCCTGTGACGCTGAGGGGACGCTGCCTTGGCGGTGAACACGAGGCTTCGTCCTCCCGCAGCGGGGACAAGCTCGTCTGCTAGCCTTATTCCGGACCTCCACGCTGCAAGAGAAAAGAAAGGGGACAGGCTAAGCGCACACCGCCACGCCCAGGGGAGATGCAAGCTTTTTCCTCATGCAGCCCAACCAACGAGATCTCTGCTCTAAGCTTCTTATTTAGACTTTGATTTCTAACCCATAAAAGAATGGGCACGAGATAAAGCACCATTACTTATCTATCAGCAACAGCCCAATTTTCAGTGAGGCACATTAAAAAAGAAAAACTCCTGCGGCCCATACCTACGGCTGCAGTTCTCCCCGTCTGAAGAAACCTGGCCCTTACTCGCTTTACAAAAGGTCTGAGAGACACAGCAGCGCTGAACAGAAGTTTGAGGGTTATTTCCACTGCTCAAATTCCAAAGTGCAAAGGAAAAAAAAAAAGGCCCAGGTCAGCAATTACGACCTTTGTGAGAAATTCAAGAAGCGCTTGGACAAGGTGCTACGAGATATGATTTAGTAGCTTAGTGATAGGAGGACGGTTGGACTAGATGATCTTGTAGGTCCTTTCCAACCTTGTGTTTCTATGATTCTATGAAATCAGAAATGCATAAATGTGCCAACACAATTTACAACGTATCTCACCGTTAAAAAAATATTCTGGAGGTGAAGAAGTGTATAACTGTGGAAAATAATCCACAAACTCCTAATTATGATGCACTACCCATATGTTTGCAGAACAATTTATTTTCTTTACTCCTGTGGTCACGCTTCAGGTGTCCTTATCATTTAACAAAGTGTCTTTTCATTTCAAACTTTCACCTGTCTCTCCAATTCTTCAATTTTGTGCATTCTCCCCTTTTAAGTAACAATGTTTACAGTTCAAAATTGTTATGGAGGGACGTCTCTCTTACCTTTCCCATATAATACTGTAACTGCAGATATTTCAGGAAATATTTACATTGAACTTAGTAAGATGTTCCCAAAAGTTGAAATACAAAAGTTAGCTTACTATTAAATAACTCATAAAAACTAGTTTGAAAAACGTTTTGGACTTCTGTCGCCTGGCAATAGCTTCCGCTGGCCCGTGTGTAGACTCCAGTTGTCGCATCCAACACATTGAAATTACACATTAAGCAGCTGTTACAGAACAGGTAGCGACTATGGTTGATGTAGGCTGTACCTATCACTAGCTCTCCATGTGTGCTCCAAGTCTGTATCTCCCCGTGACACCACGAGCTGCTGATTAGTAAAAGCTGGGTACCCCGTGTACTACCCAAAGGATTTGTCGTTTGGGTACTGTGCTTCGAAGCTGTGAGAGCTCTGAGTACACACTTACCAAGAACTGCAATGTACTACCGTAGTTCTACAGGTCCTTCAAAGTTTCAAATTAAGATAAATGCTGTGTAAACAGAGAACACACAATCACTGAAACTTACTTGAATATATTCAATCTCTTCATCTGACATAAGTTTCCTTCTGTATTTCTGAGGGAAGGTTCTCGCTAATTCCGAAGTGTCTGGTGTACCTTGTACCCTACTAACAGGTGAAATACTTTGAAAGGCTGGTGCTCTGCCTCCGACAGACTCCTGTGCTTTTGAAGCATGGGGCGATGGCACACTTGCTTGTAGAGATTCCTGTACTGAAACCCAGATTGCAAAACCGTTTACAGAAATACAACAAGACTGTAAAACAAATTAGATGAGCAACCAGTAAAAGTTACTAGTTATTGACAATTAAAATTCTTCCTTATAACAAACATTAAAAGAATTAAGACACTCTGCTTTTCGCAACTTGTTCTAATTGCTGTTTAATATATCAAGAGCGCAGTATCAAGGGCACATTTATCTGAAATTAAAAGAATACACATTCGAATGGCAGAAATGTTCATGTGGAAACAGATCTCCACGTGATATATCCTAAGAAAGGCTTTCCTTCGCTGGGAAGCTTTCCTTGAAGCATGAAGTACCATCAATGTGTGTGTGGGGAGGGTTAGGCAGAAAGATATCTAAGATAAGTAACTGAGGTCCACTGAGATGATGCTTTCTGTTTTCTGCAACTGTAAAGACAGACTGGTGAAAAAGAGAGAGAGGCTTACAGAAGGATGAAGCTCATGATGCACAATGTCGAACCCATTTTTAACATCGTGCCGAATGAACACCACTATTGGGCATCAGCAGTCAAACTGTTATGAAATGCAGATCAAGTACTGCATGAAATACTCCAGGGAAGAGGGCTCGAGGAATTCATGTTAGGGAAGCTGCCTTCAGTTTGAGGATAGGAAAAGAGACGACAGAAAGGCAGTGCTATCAACGTCAGCCTGCTGGACCTTAGGTCTGTCCCTCCATGGTGGATCTAACAATGGAAATGCACAGTTACCACGGCAGGGAGGACTGCGTCTCATCGCAGTATGTTTCCTTCTGAAGCACTTAGGCCTGGCTAAAAAACCTGGTAAAGCAGACTGCTCCTGAAGGAAGTCCTTCCCGGTGTCCCTGAAAAATGAGCAAGATAAACACAACTTCAAGCAGCTGGGACAGGCGGACTAAGATTTTGTAAAATACGCAGCGTCAAGACTGAGCAGACCTGGATGTGTTAAAATGCCATGGTATTGCCTGCCCCTCTCCCCGCTGCCTCCACCAAGATCAGTAGTGACAAAGGAGAGGAGCCATGGTGAGTCTGAGTTGATTGGCAGGGCAGGGATGTCAAACAGCTGCAGCAAAGTCATCAAACCACTGTTGGTAAAAAAAAACACCATGGAGGGGCACACTCAGGAGTTCTCGGTCAGAAGACTGAAAGCTGCAAATTGACCAGGTGCTTTGGCAAGGCAGGTCCCAAACAGAGCAAGGAGGGAGAGAGCTTATTGAAAGGAACATAATCTGAACATGGGGCACGCCACTAAGGTGAAATTCTAGAATTTAAGACCAGGAGGCAAAAGAGGCAGAAGACGAAAACAGAAGAAAGCTGTTTTTGACAACTCAGAGCTGATAATTCTGGCCAGTAATGCCTATAAAGTATTTTTGTTTCAAGAAATAAAATTCCTCATGAGAAATAGCTTCTTTGAGTTTGTCTTATATGCCACAAAAATATTTAGAGATTTGCCCGAGAGCTTCCTCTACTGTACAATTTTGATTCTGACACGTAGCTGGACCTGAACCACTGGCCAATTAAAAACACCAGAAATCGGGACTCAGAAGCACTAGACCTAACACTGCAATTGCTCTAGCGCAGATACAGCCTCTCCTATAGTTTTCCCTGCCCTGTTTGACAACGTGTTGCAATAGTAATACCATAAAAGAATTTGGCTGGCCTTTCCAGCGCCCATGGCTCTAAAAGTGTATCCTTGATCTGCAGAGCTCCGCATGGCCATGCGCGAGCAGCAGCCTGGTGCGGTGAGTGAAGGCAGTCACTGCCACAACCTTCAAGCAGAGAGAGGCCGGCTGCAATTTGCTGTCGAGGTGGCAGAACACGGTTCTGGTAGAAAGGTCTAGCGGACTCAAACGCTACCGTGACAAAGTTCTTCTGGCGCAGAGATAAAAAAGAACAGAATGCGTTTTTTAAGAATGCAATTCACTGGCTTGAGAGATGGTGCAGCCGGCTGAGCTGGGTACAGCATAGAGTTCTGGCAAAGTTATCCCCAAATACGGCTCCTGAGGACTTCACAGATACATCAGAAGTGGCGCTCATGTACGCGGTAGATACTTTGAAATGTCAGTGGATAAATGAAACAGCTAAATCTCTGGCAAATATACGGTGCAGTTACTGGTGTGTTAAGGTGCTTCCAACCGTTCTTTACCGAATAGTCACCCTTCAGACAGTGTTACAGGATTAAGTGTGTAAAGTTTGAAGGTGGCAGTCTCTGAAATTTGAAATCTGTATGTTTTTAGCCACCATAAACATTTGAATAGCAGGAAAAAAATAAAAAGAAGAATCCTCAGATGTCTAAATTAACTATCTGCTTCAAGGAGATATGCCTGGTGTTGAGAAATTTTGACACCAGTACTAGAAAAAAAGACATCAGAGGTAACAAACTAAAAAAAGAATGAGAACAGCCATGGTTTCTAAACAAATGAGGACAATGTAGCTGCGCTTCGCAAGGCACCTGCTGTTTTAGTCTCAAATGCTTTAATGCCTCATGCGAAAAGCAACACACAGGTTATGTACGTTTGATGTGTAAATGTACCAACAGCAAGGATCCTGTAAGCATCAGCGAAGCTATAGGTGTAAAAACCGATGTCAAAGACGGCCACGGAGGCACGGCTTTGCCCACGCTGCGCCAGGCGCTCCCTAAGCACCGACACCGCTGCGCGGAGCCCCCGCGGGCACGGGGCCGCGGCTCGGGGGCAGACACTTACTTTTAGGCCTGGGACCGCTGCTCCTGTCCGGGAACTTAATGAGGGGCGTGTGCGGCTTCACCACCTGCGGGGCGACACGGCAGCGCCGCCCGTCAGCAGCGGCCCCGCGCACCCCCCGCGGACCCCCGGGGCCCGGCCCGAGCCGCCGGAGCCCGGCCCCACCCCCGGGCGCCCCCTCCCCGCGCCAAGGACACGGCCCCCGGGCGGCGCCCCGAGCCCCGGCCGCCCCCGAGCCCCGCCGGCCCCGAGCTGGGGGGGGTCTGAGGGGGCCCCGCGCCGCGCCCCGGCCCCGCCGCCCCCACCGCGCCCCCCCCCCGGGGCCGCCGCCGCTACCTGCACGGCGCGGGCGGCCGCCGCCATCTTGCTGCCCATGGTCACCCCCTGCCCGCGGCTGGGCGGGGCTTCGCGCGAAGGGGGCGGGGCCTCCCGCAAAGGGGGCGGGGCCAGGGGCGCGCCGACGGGAGAGGCCCGGCCCCCGGGTGCTGGCAGCGCGCCCCCAGGTCCTCGTGCGAGACAAAGCGGCCCCGTTCTTCGTTTTATTTCTCGGTCAGCGTAGCAGTGTATTAAAAACGCGATTGTTGGCGTCTAAAGGCTGCGGGAGCTTCCTGCTAGGTGCAGTGCGGGCAGCTCGCTCCTCTTCCTGCACCCACCGTGCTGCGTGGCTCACCACCCCATAGCACAGCCACACAGTTAAAAGCATAAACGTTTCTAGGCATAAAATTCTACAATAACTAAACAACAACAACAAAAAAGCCGCCAGACAAACACTTTCCTAATCAAGTTTTACACTTTGAGCTTTCTACTGGGACACTGCAGGGTCCGGTGGTGTGGGCAGGAATACAGAAACAGGAGGAAGGCGGAGCAGAAAAGCAGTGGCAGTGCCCTGGTGTAATGCCTTCTAGGTAAAAGCTTGTCATGTGTAGGTTATATAAATTGATACTCTTTCTTGTCTTATTGCTGAATTTCAGGAGGAAACGAGTTCTTGACTTCAAACAGCTATAAAGTAGCCCTTCACAGGCTTCTCAGCTCCATTACTTGTTGCAATGACTGTTCTTTACCAGGAATTAAAAATTCACCTCAGTGAGTTGCATAGCCATATTCTGAGTCTAGAGAGAACTTCCAGAAGGCCAAAATTTCAAATTCATAAAACTGAGCTTCTATGATGCATTGAATATTGATTATATATTGATTATGTACACTTTAAATATGAAAGGTCATCTTTCTGACTCGGAGACATTTTTTTCAAGCTGTAGAACAATAGCCTTCAAAGATGGATCTTCTGCCCAGTTAACCTGGCTTCCAATGATGATGCTCTACAAGACAGAAAGACTAGTGGTTAAAAAACAAAAGCTCTTAAAAAGGATCAAAATTTCTGTTGGTCTTGTTTAAAGTATGGAAGCCCTTGAAATTCACAGCAGTGTTTGAAATGGACAGGACTTGGGAAGAGAGGAGAAAATGATTGTTTTTAACATTCTCACTCTGCCATTCTAGATTGAAAATGGGAATTTTTAATTTAACCAAAAAAGAATTGTTTTACTTATTCTTCAGAAGACCTCAGGAGTACAAAAACAGAATTCTGGGAATCTAAAACCCATTAAAATGTTTAATTTCCTATTCTCAATTTGAGATGAAACCATATTATATTTCAAACTAGTAGCAGAAATTGCATGCAACAGAAAGAACATGTGGCTCTTCTTCTGTTCTTGGTACTCCACTGGTCATGCAAATTCACAGAATGGTTATACCAATTTTTCTACCTTTTTTTTTTTTTTGATATTTCTATCAAATATATTCTTCCCCAGTCTTTTTTTTTTTTTTTTTTTTTAAAATAAACTATGTGTGTTCTTCACTGGTATTTCACAGGTCAGGACAAGCCACACTGCAAGAGGCAGAGCAGGGGGTGGCAGCAGAGGGCACATGACCTCTAGTGGCACCCCTCTGAGCACAGGATGCTGCAGGAGGCCCACCTCCCACCCTAATCCCACCAGTATCATCAGATTAAGGCCTATTTATTTGTCCTAGGGAACTGGTTTGGGGGGATGTAGGAGTGACCACCAGTGTAAGGAATTATAGCCACTGCCATTATAGACATATTTTTGGAAAATGCATTACCTTTGTACCTTTAAGGGACCAAAGAAATAAAGACAGATCAATAGCATGTTTCTAAACTCTGGAAATAATAACTCCAGACAAGTTTTATAGTTTTAGTCCTGAAAATAATAAAGATTTCCTTTCATACTGCAGTTTTTCCATTACTGCTGTTACTTAAAGAGTTTAGAAAACATGACTTTGTTTGAAGTCACATTCATTACACAGTATATTATTCTGCTTGTAATGCAGAACTGCCAATCTGCTTATGAAAGCTATGAAATTACCTGGAATACATTTTGAATTACTGTAGTCATCGCTCTTTCAGTTTGTAGGTTTTTACGTATTTTCTCCAGCATTTCATTCACTTCCTTACTCCCTAGTTCCTTTATTTTTTGCATCATGAGATGAATTTTCTGTAGTTTGTCTTCTTCAGCCTGTCTTAGAACTGTTCCATTATTAGTAAAACAAAGCATTAAAAAGTAGTTCAGTGAGCAGAAGACCTAAACAGATACTTTTTTTCTTACAGACATCTAAGGCATTTCTATTGCAATAGCTCAAACTTCTCTCTCCCTCCACTTCCTCCAACAGACCTCACAACATACCTTTTACACAAGACACAAGTACTGCAGTACCTGGTATCAGTACACACCAATTGGTTCCTTGGCTGCTAACAAAACCGAAAGTCCTCTGAATAAGGTCCGCATTTCCTTCAGACATAGACCCTAATTTAAATACCTGTCCTACGCCCCATCTTTAGTTGTCACGGCATTTATAGTTGGAGATGTTTAAAATCATATTGGATTGAAAACAAATTCAAAAGTCATAGAAGGGATACATGGACAACATCAGTGAGTATTGCCAGGTTTTGGACGATACCAGGCTAAAAGTGAGACTGAAAGACACCGTGAAGGGAGATTTCATACATGGTCAGAATGCTGCTGTTCCTGATACAGCATTCCTTAACTGAAGGAGGGAGTTAGGGTGCTCATTTCTTTTACTGTGAAAAGACATACTTCATTGTGTCTATTACTCTCAACATACATACCAATTTCTACGCATGAAACACGCAATTGAATTAATAATTGTTAGAACTGCTGTCAAACCTCGTTGTATGACATTAAGAACAAACTTTTAGTGCTATTCAAAAAAATTATTTACCTTACTAAGTTCTGAAATGCGATTTCAAATGTAAATTTGACCCCGTGTAATAAGCGTTCTGAATACCAAGTTACATAACACTACACTGTAAGTAAGTACCCTCTTGTTCAACAAACATTTCACAAAAGTGCAGTTTGAGAAAAAAAAATCCTTTCAGTTTTGCAGAACTGATTTAAATTACTAAATGAAGTGTAAGTTGCTGGGAAGCTTATAATAAATAATGAAAGACCATCACTCTTCTTGTTTTTTAGCAGATATGGAACCAGAGATACAAGAATACGACTGATATGTTCTATCAGTCTCATCATCATGTAGACACCACACCAGCTCATTTTTATAGCACCTACTAAAACTGTTTTCATAAGTTCTATAACTGCATTAAGAATTTTGTAGTCACTTAATAATGCTACAAGAAGCACTTTAAAATATGAACAGTATATTCAAATATGCACTTACTGAGTCTTTTCCTTCTAATGGCATTCACTTTGTCTTCAATGTCACGTGTTTCCTGAAAGAAAAACATATTTCGTAGACTCTCATTTCCAATAAGTGCTGATGATGTTAATTCAGTCCACAAAAGCAGCTAAGGGCAGTTCTTGCAGACTTGCTTGCATACTCACTTGAAGCAGCAAATTCAGTAACTTTAACACTGCTAGCAACTATGCCCTTTGAGCCACATACTTACTTTCAAATGACTTGTGCATTCCTGTTACTTTCAATTACCTTTACAGCAAGTGTGCACAACTGCAGCAAAAGGTACAAATGGCACTTACTTTTTGAAATTCAATTATTGCCCGGCTGAGCTCTACTGTGTTCAGTAGAGTATCCACAATCAGTCTAAGGAAGGAAGAGAAGTTGCATTTAGACCATTAATATGTGTTGACAGCACGAACACTTTAATCCAAGTTATTTAGATTAAACAAAAAATGATCATTTATCTTAACAGGAAAATAGAAAAATACACATCTAGCATACTTCTAGTTGTAGGTGCCACATAGGCTCCTTGTTTCGCTCTCAGTTTTGCTAAAACATCAGTTAAGTTTAATTTTTCAAATCATAGAGCTAGTGGTTAGAGCTCCTGAATTCTGGGCTGTAATAGGGACATCATGGAAACACATTGCTTTCAGCTGTATTTTCAAAAGAAATGCAATTTCTCATACGACACTTCATATGCATATATCAATTAACAGCAGGCAAGAAATTAAAGCTGATTTTAAGCACATGTGAAATCTTCGGTTCTGTTTGACAGGCATTAAGCTTCTACATAATTATTTAATGAAGGCAGCAAAGCAGAGGCAAGGCTCCATTACCAGCTTGCAGTATGCGCTCAGCTATTATAAATGCTGGGAATTCATATTCCTTAGAAACAAAAAACTGTTAACTACAAACAACTCTTACTGGTGCATCAAAAACTAGGAAAGCCACTTAAGCCCAGACAAAGCCAAATCCAGTCTTCACAAAGTGACTTAATACTGTCTAAACCAGGAAGAGAAGCTGCCCGAGTCCACTGCTCACAAAACATCCCCATATTCAATCAACTCTCAAATGTCAACACAAATCTAAGGACATGATCCAAAGAGGGCAAGAACTCACATAACATTCAATAAATGTTCTTGCGGCTTCATTTAAATATGGAAACACCAGTGCTGGTGGTGGGGAGTCCAGTGCATTTCACAAGCACAGCCAAAATAACAGAGCTAATGATCAAACCACATTGGTGCTTCTGGAGTTGAGCTGGTTTCTGTGAAACAAGCTTAAGCATCTCTGTAATCAAAGACTAGTTAATTTAGAGTCCAAAGGTAAATCCACCGTGCACATAGCAGTTTTGATCATGCTGTCTCTAGCCAGAAACTGGTGGACTATATCTCTTCCAGCCAAATCTAGACAAGAAGTTTGCTTTACAAAAGTTACCATGAAGCAAAATAGAAATGTGCCGCATCAAAGGATGGTCCTTTCTTTTCTGGCCATCCTTTCCCCCAAAACACCTTACCTTGCCTCACCATCATTTTCAGCCATTTTCTTTCGCAGGGCATCCGCAAACTGCATCCTGCATGGTATGAGAAATACAAATAACTGATGAGAATTGATAAGAAACTGAGAACTGACTGCTGATATATACTGGAAGAGAGATTTACTAATTTCACTTATACCCACTTAACATTGGAAATACATATTTAAAAAAAAAAGACGACAACAACAACAACACTTAACTTTTTAACTATTTAACTTTTAAATATAACACTTCTTAAATACTGGGGCTTAATTCTCAGGACAAGAAAGGTGTTATCAAAGACCATTTGTAACAGTGACAATGCATTTCTATCTTGACAAACATACCTCAGATGCCATCAGTCCCAGTCTGCTGAAGAGAAGCTGGACAAAGGTGGGAATTCAAACAAACAGTCGTCTGTCTAGTTTAGGAGATACACAACAACTACCAACCTCAACCTCTTCACAGGAATTTGTAAAGTACCACCAACTACTTTTACTAATGTACACTGTGTGCCTTTTCTTAATTTTGCAGAACCTCTGAGGCTCACCCATGCTTCAGTTTGTGTTTTGTTGTTATTCTCTATGGTATATCCCTCTTCATTCCTATTGAAGCAATTGTATTAAATCTCTCATGTTTGCAACACGTGCTGTATCACTCTGAAATCCTATTTTAATCATAATTATGCATTTCTGCATGCATGTGCACACATGTAAACAAACAGAAAACCTCCAAGTATAAAGAAAAATCTACCTTTGCACGAATAATGTCTTGTTCTTGAAGGAGGTTTTTATTTTCTCCAGTTCGTTTTCCAAATTTTGCATGGATCTGAAACAAAGCACGAAAGGAAGAAAAACTGTAAAAGCAACCTCGCATTTTTGACTCGTTCTCTGCATGTCTGAAGGAAGAACTTTTCCTCCAAACTACAAGTCATTCAGTCGTATTCTCTCTTCATTTCCTTTGTTTTCACACAGAATCACACACAGATTCCTCTAAGTTGGAAGAGACCTCCAAGATCACTGAGTCCAACCTCTGACCTAACACCACCAAGTCCTCCACTAAACCATATAACTAAGCTCTACATCTAAATGTCTTTTAAAGACCTCCAGGGATGGTGACTCCACCACTTCCCTGAGCAGCCCATTCCAATGCCTCACAACCCTCTCAGTAAAGAAGTTCTTTGTAATATCCAACCTAAAACACCCCTGGCACAACTTTAGCCCATTCCCCCTTGTCCTGTCACCAGGCACGTGGGAGAACAGACCAACCCCCACCTCACTACAGCCTCCTTTAATGGACCTGTAGAAGCGATAAGGTCACCCCCGAGCCTCCTCTTCTCTAGGCTGAACAAGCCCAGCTCCTTCAGCCGCTCCTCATAGGACTTGTTCTCCAGGCCCCTCACCAGCTTCGTTGCCCTTCTCTGGACTCGCTCAAGCACCTCCATGTCCTTCTTGTAGTGAGGGGCCCAAAACTGAACACAGTACTCGAGGTGCGGCCTACACCAGAGCTGAATACAGGGGGACAATCACTTCCCTACTGGTCACACTGTTTCTTCTACAAGCCAGGATGCTGTTGGCCTTCTCGGCCATCTGAGCACACTGCTGGCTCATATTCAGCTGACTATCAACCAATACTCCCAGGTCCTTCTCCACCAGGCAGCTTTCCATCTCCCAGCCTGTAGCTCTGCTTGGGGTTGTTGTGCCTCAGGTGCAGGAGCCGGCACTTGGCCTTGTTGAACTTCATGCAGTTGGCCTCAGCCCATCAGTCCAACCTACCCAGATGCAGAGCTTATGCAGAGCCTTCCTACCCTTGAGCAGACTGATACACACACCTAACTTGGTGTCATCTGCTTTTCACCACATTCTTGCATACTACTGATTGTTAAACCAGAGTATCTACTGAAAAGGAGTAACCAGAAGAGAGCTTCCAAGCTCAGCCCTTCAATTTATTTTACAATACATACAGAAGCTCAAAGTTAACAAATTACGTACTCCGTAGTAGCCTTTTCTTCCACGTCATGGTCAGGGCACCCTCCTTGACCTGCAAAGCAAGAACACACTAGAACAGCACAAGAGTAAGACTTTAAACACGATTTACAGAACATAAGGGACAAAGCCGCTTAATGCATCTTTTATTCTGCCTCCACACCTCACCAGCTCTTCCAGCCTCAGTGAGACTACGCGGGGGGGTAGGAGGGCTGTGCAGGTGCTTGGCTGAGGGACTAAAGCACAGCACCAGGTGGGGGTGTCAGGGGGTGTCAGAGGGATTAGAGGGGTCTCAGGGGGTTATCTAGGGGGTGTCAGGGGCTTGAAGGGGAGGCGCTGCGTTACTCACAGGCTTGGGCTGCGGTCTGGCACTCCATCAGCTGCTGCTTCAGCTGCTCCCGCAGGCTGCAAGGGAGCCGAGCGAAGCCGTCAGCGCGCCGTCCCCGTCCCCATTCCCCGTCCCCGAGCCCCCCGCCGCCCCGCACGGCACGCACCGGATCAGGAAGGGGATGTTCACCGTCACCTCGGGCTCGGGCTCGGGCTCGGGCTCGGGCTCGGCGTTGGGCTCGGGCCCGGCTCCGCCGGGCTCCGCCATGGCGCCGCCTTCGAACTGCCCGCGCGGGCCTCGCCCGCCCGCCCCGCAGCACCGCCCCCGTGCGCAAGATGGCGGCCGGGCGGGGCTCTGAGGGGAGGTAGGGGCAGGGCCAAACTCGAGGCGTGAGGCAGGGTGGCAGGGAAGATAAAACCGTGTTTGTTAAAGGACGAAGCACGCAACTAAAAACTAAGGGTTTATATAGACACAGCTCTGACATTTTTTTTTTTTTTTTTGAATTTTCACGGGGTTATAGGAATGCAACCACGGATTTGGCTCAGTCTTCTATGATAGACACAAGGGGGTTTACCCACACAAAGTTTACCCACAGTATTTCATTATTCCAGCCCATCTGAGGCTTGGGGGGGTGAGGGGAGGGTTAGGCTAAGCCAATTCTAGCAGCCAGACCCAGGTTTTTCCCATTTTGGTCAGTTTGTGCCATATCACACCACCTTGGGGCAGATTTTCAGCTGCAGTAAGCAGGGCTGATCCAAGCCCGATGGCTCAGGTCACAGCCAACACAGCCCCAGAGCACCATGCGCTGACACTTAGCCAAGCTCACTCTCCACCATTCCCAACAAGCTCTTGCCACATGCCCCATAGAGCCCTGGCTCATTAGAATTAGGTTCTTTGCCAAGTGTGGCATGACTGGGATGAGCTCACTGTCACTGTAGGACATGTGGTACTGCAGAGTTGTTGTCTGAAGGGGAAGGAAGTTATTAGACAAGCCTACTAGAAAATGTTGGGCTTGAACATTTGGCCTCCTTGGTAATGGGGGAGAGCTAACAGTCACCACCCTACTTCTGTCCCCCAAGCGATGCAAAAGGCCTGCATGCACTTGTCCTGGGGTGGCCTTTTAAACTTGTGCATCCAAGTCCGTGCTTGCAGGTGCAGCGTGACTTACCGACTGGCTTCCACTGGGAAGTTTCAGAGCCAAGCAGGAAGCAGCAGTTGCCATCCTGGATGGAAGGACACCGATTATGGCATAGTCCAGAACAGATAGCTCCAGCATGTACTTGGACAGAAGTGTTGTTCTACACTCACCTGCATTGTTCAGTTGCCTTTTAGTCAACCAGAATACTTTCTTAAACATTTTTCAAGCTGTAGGCTTGAAATTCAAATGGTTTAATCACAGAGCAGTTCTGAGTTGTATTAGGCTGCTCATATGCTTTTAATAGCAGTCTAGTGACCACCTGCAATATCAATCATTTTAACTTTGGTTAACTAGACTCAAGTGACTAAAAGCAGGCAAACAGCTGCAATACTGTCTGGGCTCATATGGAAGTTTTGAGCCATTATAACAAGCTTCCACAGTTAAGTATTACAACTTCCAGGTACTGCTTAAAGAACACTTGTTTTCAGCTTTACCTCTGCAATCTTCAAAGCTCTTCTTAAGAAGGGTATAGAGAGAGGACAACCCAGATGAAAGTCCAGGGCTTGCAGAACTGTCACCTCGATTTTGTGAATTTGGAATGTTATATACATGTCTTCAGCTTTATTGTATCCTACATTGTGTCTTATATATGAAGTTTAACAAAGGCAAGTGCCAGGACCTGAACCTGGGACAGGGCAACCCTGGCTAAACGTACAGACTGGGTGATGAGATTCTGGAGAGCAGCCCCGCAGAGAGGGATCTGGGGGTTGTGGTTGACAGCAAGCTGAATATGAGCCAGCAGTGTGCCCTGGCAGCCAGGAGGGCCAACCTTACCTTGGAGTGCATCAAGCACGGCATCGCTAGTCGGTGCGATTGGACTGTGCACTTAGTCACATGGTCTAAACTTTTGGGCAGACCTGTGCGGTGCCAAGAGTTGGACTTGATCCTTATGGGTCCTTTCCAACTTGGGATATTCTGTGATTCTATGATCGTACCTTATATTGTACCTTATATATCAGATTATTATATCTAGTCACAACTCTAGCATTTTCAGTTGAGGAATCACTTGTTAAGTGCATCCTGAAAATCCACAGGCGAAAATGAGTGCCATCCCCAAGCTTCCTCTATGATGACAGGCAGATTCCCTGCGTCAGCAGGTTGTCCCTGTAGCTGGAACTACTATTAGTACTACTACCAACCTCAAGTTCTTTCAGGTACTTACAGATGTCCTTCACATACTTGCTGCATAACTCTGGGTTGCTACTATCTTCTGCATCATCTTCCACTTCAAGCAACGCATTAGAAGTTGCCTCGCACAGCATGTTCTTCATGCTGATACATGCCAGTCCCTCTGTGGAAGATGAGGCTGTGGGCTCCTGCTGCAAGGAGAAGGGGGGGTGGCAGATCAGAGGGCATGGGGGCAAGCCCAGTGGCTTGCGGCCGCTGCTTGAGCTCAGGGCTCCGGCAATGGTGTCGGTGGTGCACTCTTCTTGGGGGCTGCCCTCAGCAGCCTCTTCCTGATTGCTGGCTTTGGCCCGGGCTGGGCGGTGGTGGCTCTCCTGGTGACGCCTGGCAGCCTGCCACAAGCTGTCAGTGGCTTTTTGGGGGTGGCTGGCAGCGGGGGCTTGGCGACACGGTTGCTGATGTCCTGCAGGACAGTGTGGGGTGGAGGAGTGCCCGGCAGAGCAGAGGGAATGTGGACCGGCAGGCCTGGGAGGTGCCGCAGAGAAACAGCCTCAAATCATCACCTTGGGGCAGTCGTCCAGGGAGGCAAATCCCCTCCTGTAATTAGCTCAGCTACATTTAATCACCGTGTAACACAGGACTGCTGTGAACAGACAAAGCTGAGATCCAGAGGCCTCACACACCCAAAACAGTGCAGGCAGTGCAGATGCCCCCTCCCCAGCAAAATAAATCAACGTTTCCCAAATAAATACAAGCACATCCTCAAAGTCCCTACCTGAAAGCAGCTCCTGCACTGACAGCTCAAGGTGGGGGCTACAATGACACGCTATTACAGGCTTTTAAAAAGTATGTTTCCATCTCAGTTAAACTGTTAATGAGAAAAGATGCAAAAGTGGATTTCTCTTCTTAAAAAAATAATTTGATACAAATTTAAAATGGTAACAACTACTTGCTCTGACTCAGTGAAATTAAGTTTAGAAATCAGTGTTAAAAGAAGAGACAAAACATAAAAACTGTATATTTATTTCCTAAAGAACTCTGCAAAAACTTGACTTTGTGTTCAGCTTAGTTTTTTATCCCCCATAATAAATACGTGAATATTTTTTATTCAGTCTTCCAACTGTTTTTGGAAGAAAAATATTTTTAAGCTGATTTTGTTTATATTCCAATGTAAACTATTTCCATTTCCCCCGCTAACAAATTTACAGTCATGATGTACCATACTTAAGAGAAAGTACAGAATATATCCATGCTCATCCACAAGTGCCAAGATTCCTGTTTTATTAACATCATGTACAGTATATAAGATTTCCATTATTCTCACATATACAGCAAATATTCTAGTCCTAATTTCCTTTATAAAAGCATCTTGATCTGATCTTAATAAAGATACAATGCTTTAAAAAAATCAAATGTATAGTACATTTGTTTCTGTACAGGTATGTGCAAGATCTCCTGACAAAAATAATACAGATATGGAATCCTGCAGCTTCACCATTTACTGTTTGAATAACACAACTTTTTGTCACATGATGTAAGTACCATCTTTGTAGTATTTCATAGATTCCAATTGTTGAGTCATTGCAAGGACGTCTTGAAATCCTGTACTGAGGCCAGACATATGCTGAAAATAAGCTTCCTTCTCTACTTGGACAGTTAGATTGTTTACCCCAGCATCTTTCAGAATTGCTGTAACCTGAATAAAACATCATGGCTAACATTAGTATTACAACACTTCATATGCATCTAACAATACTTTCCAATATTCTCAACATGAAATATTGCATATTAAAAATATATTATCATAAAGAATTTAGATTTCCCAGAAAAGTGAAGCCTGCTTCATAGAGCACAGCTTTGTGATTTCTGCATAATGGGTAATTCTCAGTGCCTTGCATAAGGAAATAAACTCCTTTTGAAGATATTTAAGACAAAAACAAGGCTGAAAAAATTAGTAAGCAAGCAACAAACCCATGATTAGCATTCACAACCCCCTAGTTCTCACTAAGTGCCTGTTTTGAAACATGAAACTAGCCTAACGTCCTCCTCCTCTTCTCACAGTAGATATAATTTCACAATGTTTTTTCTCTTTATTTTCCTCTTTTTTGTTTTGTTTAGAAGTTTTAGCAGGTGACCCTTTTAGGCCAACAATAATTCCAATAATTCCAAGCTGGCAGGCCAACCATTAGAGATCATCTCTGAAATGTTAACATAGTAATTTTTGTAAACAATAGTTTACAAAAATGAACAAAAACTGCAGCTTCAGACTTTACTCTATGACTGAAATAAGGATACAGAGTAAAAAATTAAGAGAATAGGGTCTAGAAACCTTGCACCTTACCTGCTGTACAATTCGTTGTTCCATCACATCTGAGACCACTTGCACATGTATTGTACCTGCCACAACACTTGCAGAGTGACACCAAAAATGAGGATCTCTGTAGGATATGACCCCATCTATTTTTTGAATCTGTAAAAAAAAATAAATTACATTAGCAACAATTAATTTTAAGAACACTTTTTAAACTTGTGCATGTACATGCATATTGATAGCAAGTATTTCAGCCAGAAACAAAGCTTTATGGCAGAGCAGCTTTCCACCTAAGTCACACACAGAAATAATGTAGCACTTAAAGGCCACCTTGCTACTGACAAGAAGTTAGAAGTCAAACTAAAGGAAAACCCTGCAGAGTACAATGCTTAATTGGATGAGAAAAAAAAACTGTTCAGGTCACAATAACGTCAACAGACAGACCAACTTTGGCCTGGCCTTTTCAGCATATCTAGGGCATCTGTTACCACAGTATCCAGGATATCATAGCTGTACGTTGCTCGGAAACATACTTCCATAATTCCTCATTTTTTGAAATTGATCTTTGCACTGGGTCTGGCTGAGAAAGAATTAATTTTCTTCATAGAGACCTGCACAATGCTTTATTTTGGATCTGTGGCCAAGATGGTGTCAATAACACACTGGTGTTTCCACTCTTGGTAAGCAGTGCTTGCACATTGTTGAGGCTCTCT